TAGAAATTAATAAACATTCTCATTATATATGATTATTCTTCTTTTTGGCAGTAAAAGAAGTCATCAACAGTAATATATGTGAACTATTAAAAGCGAAAAATAGGAATCTTTGTGCTCAGTGAATCAACTACACATAATAAAACACAATATGTATAGCAAAATGGAGAACTCATTCACATACCTATCCTTGTGATCACACAAAATAAAATTTAAGCAAAAGTCATATAGCATTATACAAAAAATATTTGTGGAGTTTTAGAGCAATTTTAGAGTACCTAAATATTAATATTTTATTGGAGAAAATGACAGTTAAAATTTTGGTGAGAGCGTTTTTGACAGTTTAAGATTTGGAGAGAGCGCTAGGTTAATTATGAAATATTTTAGTAACAATATGTTGCCCCTATATGAATTCAATCGCCGGTATTATGAATATAATGTTTTAAGACATTTTCTACGTATAAAACCTGGCCTCTTTATGGATTTAAAGAAAAAATAGCTTTTTAGTGGTTGTCGTATGTCACTCAGTATTGTACTGAAAGACATTGGTTTTAAATGGCTCAAATATAATCCAAGGCTGATGTTACAGTTTCATGTTACTGTGAAAAGACATCAGAATTTTTGAGATCAAAAATATAAAGGTGAAGAACTATACAAGTTTGTTTTTATAGATGAAACTTGGATTTTTCAGAATGGATTTATATGTGCTCAGGCAAGGTGCGAATAAAAGAAGTCTAAAATCTATTAAAATGATGATGGAAAATGGTAATATATTTAATCATTTTCAAAACGTGAAGGTGTTGAAATATTTTTTTTGTAGATACATTATTCTGCATGCTGGAAATGAAAATGGCTTCATTGAAAGTACAGAGGCTATATTTTCCTTTAAATTGGTTTTAAGGGACTACCATGGAGAAATAAGTCAGGCAAATTTTTAATCGTGGTTTGAAAATCAACTATTAAAAAGTTTGTCTGAACCATCCCTAATTAAGTATAAAGGTCGCGGCATATTATCATGCAGGTATAGTTTCCGGCACGTAGCGTTTCCATTCCAGCAATCGGACTGCGCGTTGATTTTCATACATAGAACGTTTCAGTCAAAATGATGTGCAATTGCTCTTCTACTTAACGATGAGGAAAGAAAAACTGTAGTAAAAAGGTTTGAAGTACATTCAATGCCAAGAGAAAGGAAAAAGGAAGCTGAATACTGGACTTTATACAAATAATTAATTGATGACGATGAAAAATATTATGGATATTTTAGAATGAATAGGATTCCGTTTGAATATATTTTAAATTTAATCACACCATTAGTTAAAAAACAAAATGCTACATTTAACAAAGCTATACATATCAAACCAAAGAGTATTTTTTAAAAAAGAAGAGGTATCACTTCCGTGCGAAAGTCCTAATTGTTTTAACACTTTCGTGTTTAATTGTCACAAAGCAATGAAAATACATGCATAAATGACAAAATAGCGTCGAAAATTATTTTTTCAAATACTTGAAATCGTATCAAAATCAAATAAATTACTACGTATCAAAATCAAATAAATACCTAAATACACAACGAGGGGAAAATGACGGACATCTAATTCACATTATCCGTACCAACCGGTTACGACTCGTTACGTAGCCGTCGGCATCAGTAAAATATTGTTTTCAAATATACTGAACGGAAACGTTAGGTGTCTAAAATTTGTTAAATTGTTGTTTCTAAAATTTTTCAAAATTAACCTAGCGCTCTCTCCAAATCTTAAACTGTCAAAAACGCTCTCACCAAAATTTTAACTGTCATTTTCTCCAACAAAATATTAATATTTACTCTAAAATTGCTCTAAAACTCCACAAATATTTTTTGTATAATGCTATATGACTTTTGTTTAAATTTTATTTTGTGTGATCACAAGGATAGGTATGTGAATGATTTCTGCATTTTGCTCTACATATGTTTTATTATGTGAAGTTGATTCACTGAGCACAAAGATTCCTATTTTTTGCTTTTAATAGTTCACATATACTTACTGTTGATGACTTCTTTTACTGCTAAAAAGAAGACTAATCATATAGAATGGGAATGTTTATTAATTTCTGTTATAGACTTTCCATTTTGCTTTGTAACTTAAAATGTAACTTAAATGTAACTTAAAAGTAAAAATATATATTTTTACTTTTAAGTTACAATTAATATTGGTTAGTTATGAGCACTGATTATATCATAGACAATACAATTAGACTGGGCGCTGCAATACAGACCCGTTCGTTCAGAGCGACAGAGAAAATTGACACAAAGCAGTCTGCATCTATTTCTAATAAATCAGGTTTATCGATCACGTACAATTGCTATTATTCATTTAGGTCACGTGGTCGATAAACCCGGCCCATTAGAAAGAGATGCAGGGACCGCTTTGCATCAGTTTTCTCTGTCGGCAGTACTGCAACAGTCTATTTGTATTATATTTCTTCTTCTTCCTTTTCTTCATTAGCTGGATGGTTGATTGACGGATTAATACCTCTTTGGAAGGTTGTCACTCCAACTTTTGCGCACTCGTCCGATACTTCTTTTGCCGATTGATAACATACCTTTTGCTGTTTTGACGACACGGGTCTCTTCCATTCTGCTTATGTGGTTATTCCATTATTCTTTCGTATTTTATGTCCATTCATTTATACATTGTAAGTTACATTTTCTTCTAATGTCTTCACTTCTCTTTCGATCTCTTAGCGTATTTTCTGTAATTCTTCTCAGTACTCTCATCTCTTCCGTTTCCAGTAGCTTTTGCGTTGTGTCTGTGTCGGGTCTTGTTTTTGAGGCATATGTCATTATTGGTCTTACACTGGCTTTATAAATTGACTTTATATCAGTGTTAATGTGTCTGTTTCGCCATATAGTGGTATTAGGGCAGGTATTTTAATTCCATTACTTGTTCAATACTGATGCCATCAATTTCTATTTTACTTTTCTGAGATGAGATTATCTGCTTATATGTTAAATCTGAAGACCAGATTCTGCAGACTATCTTCATCTTAATATTGCGTCGTGTGCGTAACACAGTATTTTTATTTCTTTGTTTGCTCTTCTGTATCATCTTCCTTTGTTAAGGCTTTTGATGATTTCTTCCATGATGTAATTGAAGAACATGATGCTCAATGAGTCTACTTGTTTTATTCCACTGCCTATTTCTATAGCTTCTATAAGTTGTCCATCTTTTTTAATTTCCATCTTTTTTCTATAATATTTAGGGGAACTTCTCTACTTCTATACAGAAGATTGATTACATCTGAGTAATACTCTGCCAACCGCTTTCTTTAGGTCAATCAGACACAGAAATGCTGGTCTATTATACTCTAGTGATTTCTTAGTAATTTGCTTTATAACGAATATTCACGCATCTGTACACGATCTTATACTACGAAAACCCTATTGTTCATCTGCTAAACTTATCCTCTGATTTATTAATACTTGTAAAATTTAAGTTTTAATTTTTTATTGTAGTATTTAACAAGTTTATACCTCTGTACTTTTCTGGCTGTTTTTTTATCTCCTTTTTTTGAATAGTAGAATTACTTCGCTGTTTTACATTATTTCGATATGTTATTGCGTTTAATAATTTAATAAATAATGTTGTTAACTGTTCTGTCATTGCTGCTCCACAATATTTCAATAATTTATTTGGTATCCTGTCTTTACCTGCTGCTTTTCTGTTCATTAGCTTTTCAAGTATTTTACCAATTTCCTGTACATTTTATTAAGTTCTTTATTTGTAGCAATTTCTGGTGTGTACGGTTCTAACGTCGTTTGTTCTTCCTCTGCAAAGTTTTTTTAGGTAGTCAATCCACGTATTCTTTTCTATGTAAGTTGGTTCTATTGGTTCCTTTACGTCCGTTCTTCGACCTCTTATAAAGCGCCATATTTCCTTTTGTAGACTGTAAAAATCATGTCTATATATTATATGTCTATGGAATATATTATCTAGGTATTATACTAACTTCCAGCCACTTCCAGTCAAAGTCAAAATTTGACGAAAGTAGCAACAACATATTACTATATTTACTAGACAGGACGTACTAGGATCAGTAAATTGAGTATAGCCAACACCAACAGTAAGTGTAACAAAAAAAAATATCAAGAATTAAACAAACGAGAAACATTTAAACGATAAAACTAAAATTCCTACGCTTTAAGGTATTGTTTACTACGTTAGACTTAATCTCAGAACTTGAATGCTCAGATGCTACGTTTTCTATTTAACTCTACAAATGCAAAAACGTTAGATAATGGACTTAAAACAGAGAAAAGAACAGAGGTATTTGAAATGTATATACACTGGAGAATACATTTGGATTCAAAAGATCACAAACGACGAAGTTTTCCAGTGACTAAGTAAAAGGTCAATAGAAAGATGCCAGAATTCAGGATCTAAATAGGTGGTTAGACTGCTCATCTGCATAATTCTGTCAAACTGCAGTTTTCAAAACCACAATTTCCATTTGGATCACCTTTTCGAAAGAAGATGGCATAATAAGAAGCTCCTAGTCAATGAAAGCCGTATAATATGCTCAATCATCCTATGTACCATATCTGTTGAGGTTGGCGAGCGTTGGAATAGGAAGGAATGGGATATTCATCATTATCTAGGGCTTCGTGTACCTATTAGGTTTTTTCCGTTGGTGTTTATCCAATCTCTTATATTTTTCGCCATGATTTTTTCTGTCGACCTATATTTCTTCTTTTACTCCAAAATCAGTTGTAGTTGTCGTACTCAGTGTGGCACATGATATAACCGAGGTAAGCAGTCTGGACTTATTGTGACTGGGTAGGTATCCATTTTCCTTACAACTTCTGCGTTGGTCATTCTACTAGCCCAGAAAATCAATACCAGATTGAAGTAACTTCGTTTAATGAATAATCTAATGGATAAAAGAAAAAACGAAAAGGACTGGATTCAGGTACTTATGATTGAATAGTTATTTTATATAGGAAATGAAGTAGTCGAAAAAATATTTTCAAATCATCTTTATTTATTGTTTTAACACCTTATACATATGTAACTTACATTTAGAATAATTTAATTTATTAACAGTAAGAGGTAAATGTAATCCTACATCTTACATAATGGGAAAATAGACATAATTTTATGGTATATTTACAGGTATGTACACATATAACATTCAACTTATATAAGTATTTTGGGTAAATTGTAAATAACTGTGCCCGCCTTTGCGAACTTTGACAAACAGTACAAGTCCTTCTGAGATATACATATCTGTCAAAATAATCTGAAAATCATCAGCGGGCAGAGCTAATACTTTTTTGACACATAAATTTTTTGCAAGTTGTGCTGTTTAAATGAATTGCCAAGTACAGTTCGGCTACTGAATAGTGCGCATGCGTTGACATTTAGAGGACAACAGGTAAATCAATCAAGTGGTACACCATTCTGCACAGTTAGAATATTTTCTGAACTTGGTGTCAATCGACATAAAGAATAAAATGAGAAGATCATGTTCTAAATGATGTGATAGTTATGAGAATAGATCGAGGAATAAAGCCAATAACGGAAAATTACCAGTCATAGACTGTACCTATATCGCAATTAAAAAAGTTAAAAATGAAATATAAAAAAATCTTGTGAAATTGGTCAAATAACTAAATTGTTCGTTTGACATAAAACGTATTGATATCATGATACTATGAACTATGTTGATAAATAATGTAGGTTTTAATATGAAAAAAAAAGTCTTAGATTTTACAGAATAGATTTTCAAAGGCGCAAAATGTTAAAGTAGAAATACGTCTAATTATGGTGTCTTATTGATCACATTAAGACAACACGGAGCAAAAACTTAAAGTATTCAAAGTAATGTTTTGTTTTAGCGATTACTTTTTCTAATATTTACGTTTCAAATAAAGCGAAATTTTGGAAATAATTATGTAATTGTAGCAGACTTTTGTTTGAAGTTTATAGAAACCAACGCCTCAAGTTGCTGAAAAAACCAGGTAAATATATGTGACTACATAGAAGGTAAGTGTATTTTTTAATCTTACATATTTTCATATTGATTTACAGGAGAGCTTTTCGTAGCTTGTAAAAACGCCTCATAAAGAATCATAACCTAAATGTCTGTAATCATATTTTCCTATATGATACCTACTTGTTGATTTGCCCACTGTCTTTATATGGAATCTAAATAGCTAAAAATCGATGTCATGCCATAATACCTATCGAATATTTTATATTTAGAAGTCTTGATAGGTGGAATCACAGCCGAAACACTATACAACGTTAGTAAAAACGTTGTTAGCAGGCTGCTTGACTAGAAAAACCTGGTCATACCTAACCTGTATATGTCGTACAGCCGTTTTTAATACATCTTACCAATAATTTAGCCGTTATTTAAAATTTTTACAGAATTATAATCGTTTATAGATATTAGTGAATGAAAAATGGAATTGAATGTCGTGTATTGCTTAAATGGAATGGATATTGATATCTCAGAATCTCATAACCCTGGAGACACACTTGTATGCGCAGTGAACTATAATCTTTTACTCAACAGCATATTAACATGATTTAAAAACACCCAAAAAAGCATTGTATAGGTTGCGACTGATTTTAGCTGCAACCTGAAACAAAATACTTCTCACAAAATGTTAACTTTTTCCTTTTATAAAAGCATAGACTATAAAATATGCGGCATTTAGTAATAAAAGCAGAAAAATACCTTTTCTCTGGTTTTAGGTACTGCATACTTTTAGAATAGTTGCGTTAGGTGACGCGAACAGTAATAATAGGTGATATGATTACCTATTATTACTGATCAGATGTTTTCAGGGTCATAAGATACAAAATACTTTTTCTAACTACTTACTTGCCTAATTTTTTCAAAAATGTAAAATATTTATTACAAAATCAGTTCGGTATTTATTTGGACTCTACTCTAGAAATCTTTCTATCAGTATTTTGGCTAAGGGTCATTCTAATTTCAAATATTTGGCACATTTGTAGAATATTAAATTTAAATTCCAATCAAGTCATGCTAAAGCCCCTAACAGATGCTTATAACAAATAAACTATATATATTTGAAATAATCGAGTAATATAATTACATATAAAAATTAGAATAAAGTTTCGTAAAATAAATGTAAATAAAATCAATGAAAATGAAACAAAAATGTATGTTTCTTAAGACGAAAGACAATAGAATGAACAATAGAGGAGAAGGTCCTAATATGAGCCCTGTGGTTATAATGGGCCTTCATTAAAAATTTGATGCCACAGGTAGCGCTATCTTTTAAAAATATATTAAAGTTGAGAATGGCAGAGCTCCCTCCTTTGTTACCTAACTCGTTGTATGTCAGAGCGAGGTTTGTGTATTCCACAGATTTATGATATTTATTCACGGTAAGTTGTAATTATCGAATTTTTATTTAAGGAAAATGTTTGTTCAAGTGTGATGTGTTACGTTTGTATTTTAGCGTGCTATGTGCATCTAGACACAATATTGACAATATAATATAATAACTATAAAAAATTGTCACCATATTGTGGTCATGTACAATGTGGCTAATATGGGCCCCTAGAAGTTGCAAATATGGACACCTACAGGTTGCAAATATGGACCCCTACAATTTGCAAATATGGACCGTATTTGGACCAGTAAACTCCGTTTCGATACCAGTTGCGTCTTTTTTTTCAGATCAGCCATGCAAATATCAGAGAAAAAACAAGAACAAAATGGAGGCCTGAAAACATGCAAAAAGCTTTGGAGGTTGATAGCAATAAAATATTGGGTTTGTCAAAGTTTCAATGTATCAAGATCTTCTTTGCGAAGATTCATGAAGATTCAGAAGACTAAATGTTCAAATGTAGAAAAAATAATTTCAACTTCACTTGGAAAAAGAAAACAGTATTAGGAGAAGATATCGAAGTACGGTTGGTTCAGTTTTTGGTCTAACACGAAAAGACCGCAGAGTGACATACACATTAGCTAGAAATAATGGATTAACTCATCAATTTAAAAATAATATTGCAAGAAGAAGTTGGCTGGACGCTTTCTTAAGACACCATAATATTTCCCTATCACTTCGAAAATCCACTGGAACTTATATTTTAAGAATTCTGTATATAGACTTATATCTTAAGAAACCGAATAAAAGAAACATAGTTTTCTTCGTATAGAGTTTTCAATAATATCTGCTGAAAGTGGTTCTCTTGTAACTTTAATTATAGCAATGCGTACTGGTGGTCAATTTATTCTGCCTATGTTGATTTTTTTCCTGAAGCAATCGAAATGACCACTGACTGCATGGCGCTCCACCTGGGTCAATATATGCGGTTCAGCCAAGTGATTGGTCATAAGAGAACTTGTTTACTGAATCGATGAAACATTTTATATATTTTGTGAAACCAATAAAAGAGTCCCCCGTTCTTCGAGTACTTGATAGCCATTATAGCTACACGTACAATTTGGCAGGCAGTGATTGATTTGGCTAGATAAAAATTTGTGGATCGAACTCACATCCACTGAACCACTCGCAGCGAAGCGAATGAGAACCAGCCGCCCAGCCCGCTTGGCTATCTAACTGACAAATATCCAATATGCCAATCTTTAAAAAACATCCACTCGTTAAGGAAAAGGTTCCAAATCACAAATAATTACCTTCTCTCTCCACAAAACTGACACACAAGATTCTCTCGCTAAAACTCAAAGCAAAAAACTTAATAATGTAAAAAGAAAAGAACTTGGAAATTTATTAAACGGGGGTCAAAAATTGCTGAAAAACATCCAAAAGAAATCAAAAACATCCGAAACCAGCAGTGAAGGCAGTTCCGCAGCATCTAAACAATTTTTCCCACTTGACGATGATGTTGACCTTGAGAAAGTGGGCAAGATATAATAGACGACAAAGATGCAGAATGCCTATTTTGTGAGGGACGATATCAAACAGACAGAAAGGGAGAACTTTGGATTGAATGGCTTATGTGTAACTTATGAGTAGCACATAAACTATTGTTAGGAGCTGAAAAAGACACTTACATTTGCGATTTTTGTTAATAATTTATTTATTTCTGTTTTGTTACTAAACTATGTTCTTTTTGGTTAAATAAACAATTTTTGTGCGATTTTTCCTAGGGGTCCAAATTTCTAACAAACCGAGCAATTTTAAAATTTGCACCAAATTTATATTATTATAAGTATTTACTGTATGCTTTTTAGAAAGTTTTTTTTTTAATAAAGAACTATTCAGTATTATTAATAAATGTTAAATCTAAGTATATCTGCAATTTCACATAACTATCATGAAAGGGCGAAATATATTTGAAAAAACAAAATAGGGCTCATATTAGGACCTTCGTTTCTATAGTTTCTAAATATTTTATCAATATAAAAGCACTGAAGTTGGTTTGGATGTTTGTTTACGTATTGTTTATTTGTTTACGTATACCCTTTGGTGTACTTTTTGAAACATTATGATTATTGTTCGTTTGACCATCATCATCATCAATATATCGTCTGATATATTAAGAATTGTAGTAATCTTACTTATTACTTTCGGTAAGTGTTATAGTATGGTACCTAATAAGTTTATTATTCTGCATTTAATTATGTTATTTTTTTTTGGTTTCCTAAAGAGAAGAATTATAATGCAGATTCTCGATTTCTCCGATATTCTTGATAATTCTAATATCCTGTTAAACATAATTGTGAACTGTTGTATATGCTGTGGTACACCATTTTTTTAAAAGTTTGTTTGCCACTCTATCTTTTCTCGGGGTCTTTCTATTTTTCAGTTAATTAGATCTTATTTTAGTCTGTTTTATGTTATTTAGATGGATTCGTTTGAACTGTGGTATTTTAAGTGTTTCTATTGTTTGCCCTCTCACAAATTTACAGCTTTTTCTGTTATTATTTATTTATCGTATGACTTACAATAAGAACACATAATTAGAAATAAATAAAAAACGTTACATAAATTGTTACAAACGAACATCTAATGTATTATTAATATAGTTTAAAACATTTCAGCTCGCATTCAGGAACTCATCGAAAACTCCAGATAATCGCCTTCAGGGGCAATCTTCAACAATGTGACGGACGGTCTGTCGTTGCACACCACAGTCACACTCCAGAGCAAGAACTTTTCCCCATCTATATAAGCTGTCAGCACATCTACCGGCAGCTTTTTCTTATTCTGTTTATGCGGGTATCCATGTATCCATGTATTGCGGGCCAGTTAAAAGCCTGCAGATTTCCGATCGATACAGGCCATTTGGTGTGCTTTCTGTAGTGATTTGCGCTCCCATTGTCTTCTCCAAGCGTTGGTGAGGTTAAAATGTTCCTAATGTAAGGAGTTGGCTCTTAACAATGGAGGATATCAGGAGCGCAGTCTGTTTATTTCGATATCAAGCTTATCATGATAGATGGGTAGTTGATGGCAAACCTCGATTTTTCGATATTCTCTGTTATTCGTAATAATCATATTTCCCTTCTATCGAGAATTTTAAAGAATGGTTTTTTTCTTTCTACTAGATGCCTTATTACTTTTTGTAAGTTTCCTGTATTTTTTGCCAAGAATTACTTTTTTGTCTGAGTTTCCGTTGATCGTTCTTCCCCCAAGAAACTTTTTGCTGCAATTTTTACCTACAGGAACCAAACTTTTATAAACCAATCTCTACATACGATATGGAGCAGAATAAATGAACAAAATATAAAATAGAAAAACAGGACCTTAACAAGTTTAAGGAAAAGATACCCTCAAAAGAAAATAGAATTATAATCACTGAAAATTAGTAAGAAAACTGTCGATAAAAGTAAAATATAATGTGCATTTTGAAAAATATAATATTATTTATTTTATAAACAATTGTTAGGGTAAGAATTGCAGCTTTGTTTAGTCGATTGGATATTTTCCATATATTTTTAAATATTGGCTAAATCTTATAGACCAAGAACTATCGATTGACATTAATGACAATTTTGATGACCTATAACTAATTTTATGAAAAGATATTAATTAAATTAGTAATATTAAGTAATGGGTCAACTCAATCAATAGCTCTTATCAAACATTTTGGAATATTTCTATAAACGTGAACTTACAAATTAGGACCAATAATTTATTCTTTTGTTAATCTTATAAAAATTGTACCTATTCACCGCCCAAATATCTTACCAGCAATTATGAAAAATTAAAAACCATATCTGGTATGGTCCTAATCGAAGAACGTTTTTGTCGAAAAAGACGTTTTATTTTTTTATTAAGTATTTGTTGAGACCTAACTCACTCCTAATGTTACATCGACCATTTTTTAAATAAAAGCAAGCTTTATATGCAATTAAGAGATGTCACAACATGTCTCTCTATGAGCTTTTGCTTAATTGAAACAACTCCAGGTCACGACATTTTGATAATGTTAGTCATATGATAGTTTAAAATATATTAAACTGTTTAAAAAGTAAAAAAATGTTATGTGCCCTGGGTTTATCGATTTGTTTAACATATATGCATTTTTGGTTATTAGATATTAGTTGTGCCTTCAAATAATTGTACTGCAGTTGTATTGTTATGGGGAAGTGTCAAATTACTACTAAAACTTAAAAGAAGGCTTTGTTTAAATAAAGCAGATTTACGGTTCTACACTAAGCTAATCACAGAGCTGAGTGTGAGTTTGCGAAATTTACCACTCAGGCTCGGGGTAGAAGACGTTCTTATGAAGTGGTTGTTCGTCAAAAGTTCTTTGTCTAAGATAATATCAATTAAAACCAGAATGAATTAAGGGCCAAGGGACTTTCTGAGAAAACCTTGACGATACCTAAATTCCAGAGAATATGAAATTGGATATCACCAATGAAGGTTGTGTTAGTTTTATGAACTTATTTGATCTTTTTTTCTGTATCATCATGACCAGTATTTATATTAGCGTTTCATATTAATCTAAGTAGAAGGTTGCTCATTATTATTTTAGATACGTTTGGTTTCTTCTTCTACTTATTCTTGTCAAGATAATAATTAAGCATCCTATTAATATGATCATTTCATGATTTTTCACTTAATCACTGACTGTTTTCCTTAATCCCATACATAGCATTTTTTAATATTATCTTGTTTCTCTTCTTCTTAAGCAAATCGTCTGAAATCGAGCTAAGTATTACCGGTAATCAATTTTAGAAAATGTAAAGCTCTCATGAATATATCTATTGCAGATAGTAGAAATGAGTAAATAAAATTTATAAAATCAATAAATATACTACTGCCTGCGCCAATTAGTATTTAGTATATCTTACACATTGTTATTATATACTTTTAATAACCAAAAATGTCAGAAGTTACACATTAATACGTACTTCGAATTCTCACATTTCTCTAAACTTTACCTAGATCGTTTGTCTTTATAAGAAAAAACGGAGAAGGCTTAGGGGGGACGTAAAAAATTGAGCAACATCTATTAATTAGCTACGTTAATGACAATTAAATATTAAATTGTTGACATTGTAAATATTTTATAAAAACAACTTTTTTTAAAGTTCAATTATCATAAGATATATTTTTCGCATAAATGCCACTCAATACTTCTGGAAGTGTCAGTGTGGATAGTTTTGAATTTATTTCTGTTACTATTTCTGCATAATGTATTTTAGTTTATGATAAATAAACTTTAGCCACTGCTATCAGTTAAATCTTGAATCCTGCTTGAAAAAAATCATGAATACAAGAGTACAGATTGTATTATAAAGTAAAGAGTATATGAAAAAATAAAATACCCAGCTCTAGATTGAATAATGCTGCATCGTGCAGCAGTTTCCAAAGCTACAATTGGTATTTGGATCGCCCATCTTCGAAAGGAAGCGGAACAATAAGAAGATGGAATAAACAGAAAAATACACATATTATATATTGCTACACACATACAACAAAGCTTCAGGGGGCATGAGATTCCCGGAGTAAGGAGCTTTCATATACCAGGATCAAAGAGATCACGAAGCGCGAATTCTCATGTTCAATCTGAACGATTTTGATATCGTTCATTTGACACAGATCACCACACCACGTACCTCTTGCTGCGACGATCACGATATGATACTTTTTTTAAAAAATATCAGCCATGATCCGCTTCTCAGTTTCTCTTCCTCTCTGCTAGTGAGTAAAATACCTACCCTAATGGAGGTAATGGAAATAATTTTAAAGCAATATTGTAATACATTGGTAGAGGTAAAATAAAACTAAAGTACAAACTACAGAGAAGTAAAAAATAGTATCTTATAGAACTACCTATCTACATGAAACGATTTTGACATTCAAACCAATCCACAACTGCACTTAAGTTTGATTAAACTAAAAACTATAATATTTCCTAAAATTGTCAAATTTTTTGTAAAGGCAAAAAGTAAAACTATATATTATGTGTGTCCAATTTTACTTCTTCCTGCAATCGGCCTATAAAATTAGATACACATTTTAAATCGTCATATTTGTTACGTCATGTTTTCGATCTAAAACGATAGAAAATAATAAAAATTACTCTCTTGGCAGTTTCAAAACTTAAAATTGTCGAACAATAATTTTTAGAAGTTTGTATCATAATCCGATCTTCTTCTTCCATTGTAGCCGCTGTGGCTACTTCCTGGATTGCCGTAGTAGGCGTTGTAGTAGTAACCGTTCCATTCGGATCGCCAACTGTCGTATAGATTTGACATACTGTTGTCGTGGATGGATCCACTGGATCGCTGAAGAAGAAAGTAGAAAAATATATTAGTAACGTTTAAAAGATTTTAGTATGGTTTAAATTGTAGCAGTATGTGTGTGTTATGGTTACTATATCTAAGCCATAATAATAAGTCACAAGAAAGTTAAAGAACTAGCAGGACTAAGAAGACAACTACTACTAGTGTACTATAGCACAGACGTACGAGAAAGTACAAAGATGGGCAAAATATTTCGACGAACTGTTCGATGATGAAAGGGGAGATCTGGAGCACATAAAACTTACGCCAGAAGAAATAGGTCCATATATTACAAAAGAAGAAATATTACACGCATTAAAAACAATGAAGAGCGGGAAAAGCCCTAGACCTGACATGCTTCCTATAGAAATCCTAAAAATTCTAGATGAGAAGCACATTGATGTTTTAGTGACACTCTTAAACCAAATTAATAGTTCAGGCGTATTACCCAAAGAGTGGTTAATGTCGATTTTTATTTGTTTCCCCAAAAAGAAAATAGCAAGAGAATGCAGCGATTACCACACCATTAGCTTGATATCTTATGTGCTAAAGTTACTACTAAAAGTCATCCATATCCAAATATATCACAAAAAAAATTCGAAAAAGTACGACATGAACAATTAATGAATTCCCTGCAATTGACTACAATGACCTTAGGATCTTATCAAATTTATACTTTAAACAGCGAGCAAAAGTATGTGTTAACTAACAGCTGTCGGAAGCTGTTGTTGAAATTAGACGTGGAGTAAGACAGGGATGCGTATTGTCGCCAATTCTTTTTTAAGATTACTCCGAAGACATCCTGAAAAAAGCTCTTGAGAGTGAAACAGCTGGAATAAAGGTAAATGAAATTCCCATTAACAACATTAGATATCCGGACGACACTGTGATCTTAATCTGCAAAAATATTGAAGATCTTCAGAGACTGGTAACCAGAATAGCGGAGTATAGAAAAGAGTACGGTCTAACAATAAACGTCAAGAAGACGAAATTTATGACACAGACACAGACCCCCGTTTTAACTGACAAATACCACGTGTTAAAAATCGAGCAGGGAGACATGTAGTCCCTAAAGTAATAAAATTTTATCCATTGACATTGACCTAGAGTCACAACATAACTAAAATTTAAAATTTGGAATGATGTAAACCCATATATGGAGGTCACAGCCACAACTTTATTGTTAGCTTCAACTACATAACGCACTGAGGATGATCTGTTCAGATCGAAAACGTTATGCTAGTACATAAATTTCGACGACACTTTTATAAAAAGTTTTAACTATGTTTTTTTATACCAAAATACAAGTGTGAAGTGTTTTAACTTCTGTGTTTTTTTTAACGATGGTATACATCCAACTACTGGGATTTTCCCATTAATTTTTATACAAGATTATTTTTATTGTTCTGAAGCTATTTTCTTGTGGCATTGTAAATTAATTACTATTTATAACTGGGAATAAGCCACATTAAAGATAAAAATACATTTATTGACGTTTCAATTTCCAATTCGGAAATCGTTCTCAAAATACAAATAGTAAATTAAACAAATTTTGTTTTTTGTTACATAGTATGTAACATTACTATGTAACAAAAAACAAAATTTGTTTAATTTACTATTTGTATTTTGAGAACGATTTCCGAATTGGAAATTGAAACGTCAATAAATGTATTTTTATCTTTAATGTGGCTTATTCCCAGTTATAAATAGTAATTAAGATTATTTTTATACAAGATTTTATTTTTTCATGCTTCTAAAAAATTTGTTAACCTTAGCAGTTTTACTTTCAACCAATTAAAACAGCCAGATGTCTGAATAAGTGACGACAAAACCTAAATCCGACTTCAATACCAACGGCAGAACAGAAAGTATTTTCTATTTTTGAATACGTAAATACCAATATTATAATGCTTACCTTTTTGGGAGGTTTTTGGTCATAACCTCTCTCATTCCACACATCTTCCATGTTATAGAGGTCTTCTGCTCCATAATTGTCGATGCCTCCCATATGATTTTTATTGAGTTCGTTTAGCATACCTTCAGTTAAAGGTGTGGGAGCTTTCTTTTTGTTATTTTTCTGCCTGTTTACCAGCTGAAAAAGTAATTTTATTAATGACAATAAAAAATTTATATATAATATAATCAGCGGAATTAGCGGAATAACTACTTCATTAATACTTTATCAATAGTCTTTGACTATTCTTAGAAATCGCATCTTCATTACCTGTATTCTACTCTCGTATTATTTATCATCAGAAAAAGGTGTCAGACAAGGATGAAAACTGTCTCCACGATTATTTAATATATATGGGGATTATATTATGAGAAGAGTCTTGAAAGATGGGAAAAGAGCATCTTAATAAATGGCCGAAAAAAAAAACAACCTACGTTTTGTAGATGACACAGTCCTTCTTGTAAATAGTAAAGAAGAGTTAATTGATCTCATACGACTGGTTGAAAATGAAATTTAAATATTTGGACTGCAGTTAAACATATCAAAGACAAAGATCATGATAGTGGATAGACTACATAACAATCATCCACACATAAATAACACATAACCACGATTGACCAGTTTGAGGTTGTGAGCTCATATTTATACCCAAGATTATTGATCAGAAACACAGGGTCACTACAGGAAGAAATAAAACCTAGATGTGATCTAGCAAAAGTTTTCTCTATTGGTCTACTGTGGATGATTATTGACTTGACGGAATATTTGCTTTTCAGTGTCGTCACTTTTGTTATTTTGAGATTGTATTACATACAAACTTAGTATAGCTGATGTATTGCTAGTGAACGTTATCTTTTGTTTCATGTATTACTCTTTTGTCATCTGTAACCCATATAAAGTACCTGTATCCTAGGGATCTTGGTTTGCACAGAAAAATTTAAGCTTGTACTGGGACATATTGCACTTTGGTTGCATGAGTAGTGTATTGGCCAAATCGTGCAGGATATGTGGCTGATAGAAAAGGTATTCAGGTATTAAAATGTCCTCCACCACAATTAAAATTATTGCATCTCGGGAGGTAAAATGAGTGTAAAAAAATTTCTGATATATGACAATTTTCGAGGGTTATTTTCAGGACAATTAGTTATGTGAGAACAAACAGGAAAGGGGCTTGAGTATGGAGTTATTAGATGTGCTTAAAAGAAGGAGAATACAAATTGTTTGCATTTAAGAGACAAAGTGAAAAGGAACAGAAAGGAGAAAGAAGAAGAAAAAACAATAGAAATGTGTTCATATAACTGCAGATAGCGAAATGAAAGGGAACATAGTAGAAGTTGTAAGAACGAGAGATATAATGGTGTCACTGAAATTTGTAGTTGCCGAATGTGTATATGCTCCTCAAATCGATGTAGGTAAGGATGAAAGAAAAGATTTCTATGCTTAATTCGGAGAAATACTCAAACTTCATTAGATATTATACCACATTTTTTCAAAAGAAAGAAAGTTGATTGACTTATATTCAGTAAGAAGTGACATACAACCAAATATCGAAGGAGAGCGCAAAAAATCAATTGGTGGTTAGGGTGAAAAAAAAAGGTTTCTTCAGGGTAAAAATAGTCGAAAACATGAGCTGGAACATAAAACGAATTAAGTCCTAATAAAATTTAAAGAAATATGGCCAGATTATTAAAGATACTGCTATTAAAATACTTGGAAAAGACGTTTTAGAATATAAGAGACCTGGTAGTATTCAAACGAAGTTCAAGAAAAAGTTAAAGAGTATATAAGTGGTAGCAAGAAAATAGGCCAGGCATCGACCGTGAAAACTATAAGCTTATAAAGAAGTAAAAGTAGGAATACCAAAAGCAAAAGCAGAAGCATATATAAATCTATCAAATCAACTTCACACCGGAAAGGACGAAGCAAAGATATATAAAATAGCCAAGACAGAACAGAATTTTAATCAGATTCGATGTATATGAGACCAAATTAAGAAAGTTCTAGTTCACGAAAAGGATGCCAAAAAGCGATAAAAAAATGCTTTGATGGTTTATTAAATGAATAATTTGACAGAAAATTAGTTAGAAAACTAAAATTAGAAAACTAACGGAGAGATAACAGCAATGGCCACCAAAATAACAAACGATAAATTTCCTCAAGTACATCAAAAAACAAAGGTAAAGCAGTTGGATCAGATGATTCGTCAGGGCAAGTACCAAAATCTTTAGGAGAGACAGGAACAAATAAAATATACAATGCACAAGCTACAGATCCATAAAAATATTTACCTACACCATAAAAATATGGTAGGGCGTACTTGATAGACTGTTACATGAACAAATAGAAATATCCGAAAATCAGGTTCTCTATAGCCGTTTGAAGTTTTTCGTTGGGTAAGTCTAGCTTATTTTTATATATTTTTTTTTTCTATTGCTGAGTTGTTACATTGTGTAACTTTGATACTTTTCCTATTCTTTATTAATGATATTGCTAGTTGATACCGTTTTGATATAAATCTCTTCACATACCTTTATCTTGTAGTTTCAATTTACCTATAATATTTCTTGGAATGGGGCTGTTTTTGTTTACCACAAGTTTATTCCATCTAGCTAGTAATATTATTGTGGATATTAGTAACAAGTACTCTCAATAGATGACCCTACCCCAAAAATCTAATCTTAAGTAAAACTAATACACCGATAAAATGTCGTTTTCAAAAATATAAGTTATGGGTAAAATATCCAAAAATTTTATTCCGCTCTGCAAGACAATTTAAAATTGCATATAATCTTTGACATATTTTGTTGCTGGTTACTTAAATAACTTTATTTAGGCAACCAGTAAGATTCCAACTTAGTAAAGAGGGAAATTCGTATAATGAGAAAGACAAAAAAGCAAGAAAATAACCAAGTACTTTACGAAAAAGCTAGCATGACAGTTATCAGTATTATTACCTAGTGAACATAGTCGTAGCGAAACACGAACAAGAACATCTAGAGTAACCAGTTGAAGAAGAAAATATTGATTCCTACAAGCTTTAACTACTCAGACATAGATGGACAACCTAATTAAATATATAACTAAAAATACTTAGTTTTTGTTACAAAACATTTTAAAACAATTTATTATTGCGAATTCTGTATTTTAGGCTTTCACTTTCCAGCGATACTCATTATTGTAAGGCTATTGAACACCATAACTATTTTTCGAACATGGAGCGACCTCTTATAGATTTGTGAATAACTACAATACGAAAATAAAATCAATAAATCTGTCAGTTTGCCTTTAATTACATATTTTGACTAGCGTCAATATACTATTAGTACGCACTAAAGTTTTTGGCATAGACACTTTGTCACTCAGCTAGTCACATTAATTTCGTAGTCATAACTTTATATTTCAATCTAAAATTTTACTTGCAGCGACATCTCGTGTATTCGGGACGTAGATTAAAGACAGATTTTGCCTCAGGGATTTTCTTGTAAACGATTTTTTAAGGGCTGTTCCCGCAAGTTACACATCGGATTTCTTTAATTTTATTACAATGGATTTAACGGAAGAAGGATTTAAATACTATTCCATGATGTAGTTTAGGTACATAAGGAAATACCAACTTACCACTGTAACTCCAAATATGATGACGAAGAGAAGTGATGCTAATCCGATGACTATTACAGCAATAGCCCATTGTGGAAGAAGAACATCATTTTCTGCATAGCCCACTGTAGGATATACTTGTTTTGGTAACACTATAAAGAAAAAAAAAACATTTTTATTTAGATATGGGGAAAATACCAGTATCGCATACACGCCGTATTTTAACACCTATGTTAGCGAATCCTTCTAGTTAATGTATTAAACTGGCAAGTAATTGCCTGGCTACTAGAAAGACTAGATAAGTATTTACTAACATACTGACACATAACTAACCCATTTTTTGCACTAGCAATTTTTTGCATTAGCAATTTGCCATTTGCTTAACTATGCATTGGCATTGACAAATGCAGCCCTTTTCACTAGACCAATATGAAACAGTGATTTAAACTGTATCTTTTGAGAAAGAAATATATTTTTGCTTAATCTCAATTTGATCCATCTAAACTATTTCATATTGAACAATACTTGCAAAAGAGTAATTTTTGTAAAGCCGACATTAAAGTTTAATCATAATTGATTCAAAATCTTTAATGCTATATATTGGAAGACCTAACGTACATTCTCGTTAATATAAAGGCGCTATATGTACAGCATGATTTGATGCAATCCAATGTAGATGGATAATAAATACTCATGTCTACATCGTAATGGAAAAATGAGATTTTAAGGTTATTACATTTCCACTGACAATGGATAAAGGTGGCATTCAAGATGTTTCGTGTTTACTACAAAGAAGGTAAGCAATCTTCTATCGTTAAAAAAATAGTCTTTTTCTTTGACAAAAAACGTTAAAAGAAAAGAAATTTTAGAGCAAGAGATACAAGAGGGGATAAACTTATGTTTACATAAGTGTCATAAGCAACAGAGATAAAAAACAAAAAGAAGAGAAAGGGTGGCTGCGCGCGAGAGAGAACAGTCTGGAAACGTGCCACGCACATAGTCGAGTGTGGTTTTAGTTGATAGGCATTGTACCATGGATGTATCCGAGGGCAATGCATCCAAAAGGGGAATTGGAGAAATCTAACTCACGCCAGGTACGATTCACCTGGTACGCTCTTTAGAAGATTTCTAGTCTCAAACATAAAAAATAGTATAATTTTCCGATTTCGCCAGATAGAAATCGTTTGATTTCTCTTTTTGGTATTAGATGGCGTAGTTTCGTCCATATATAGTTATTTTTTAACTATTGTTTAAGACGGGAATAGATTTTGTTTCGATCCAGAGAGGTGGCTATATCGCTCTGACGAGATCTAAATAGGTCGAAATACGTATAAGCGGTTGCCGCCGCTCTGTATTGAAACAAAAATCTATTACCGTCTTTATATTTTATTTCTTTACTTCGTTTGGAGTACCAGAACTTGAATTCATTATGAATTTTGACCATGATAAACGACATGTCGAATGCAATCTTAGATTCCCTTGTCGACTTATTTATCAAGCTGTTTGCTTTGCAAGTTTTAAAAAGCACGGTGGTCAAAATTTAAATTCTATTTCGCCAGGTAGAAATCGTTTGATTTTTCTTTATGTTATTAGATGGCGTAGATATAGATTTTAAATAAAATAATATGTAGATAAAATAATATGTAGATATAGATTTTAATACACTACAAATAAAGGTTTTTTACCTAAAAAGTCCGTGTACGCTGGATCCACAACGAAATTTCCCAAAGCCAACTTCCCTTCCAGCTTGATGGACTCGTTCAATGATTTTGCTTCCCTATTGGATCCTCCAAGTGTTGACAGCGCGTCATCCAATGACTCGTGGAAAAGCTTTTTGATTTCTTGAGTGTTTATCCTTCTACCTAAATCGTTGAGTTCAACTAAGTAGTCGACTAAAACACTTCCTTCACTAAAAGCAAAAATATAGTTGATAACATATCTATGAAAACAAATGGAGGTAGTTACCTGAATCCGTCAATTCTGATTTTCTTATACCATCGATTTAGTAATGAAGAGGAACTGTATACGTAATCCAACTATAAGAAGATTAATATGATTAATTTGCATTCTATTTATTATATAATATGAGCTATTACTCTATTCACGCAATATGAAATGTTAAAAAACTTGAATGTATTTACAGCAACGCATATAATAATTTACCTGACTCTCAACTTCGTTAGCCAAAACCTGCCATTCCTTAGTATTTCTATCTAGATACTCCGGTACCCACTTAATTCCCCCAATCAATTTAATAGTACCAGCCAGATCACATTCGTTCGAGCAAACGCCAGGCGTGGTTGGCTTCTGAGTTGTTGTAGTTGTAGTCGTGGTCGTTGTCGTTGTTGATACAGTTGTTTCAACTGCACGAGTTGTGCTAGTAGCTGCAGCTTTAGCAGCCTCCAGAAGTTTTTCGATTGAAATTGGAGTCGTTGAAGGCGTTGGCCAGCCGGTGAATTCAGTTGTTGCTCTAAAACAAATTGAGCATGCATTAGAATAAACTAATGATACTAATGGTCTAAGTATATATCAAGATATATTATGCACAATAATGCGTTGTATAACGGTCAAACATATTATGATAAAGCAAGTGTACAAACAAAATATTCATTCTATTTACAGATATAACTGGATATTTTCACGACCAATATGTTACAATATTCTATACTACAAAACTTATATTATTAAATTTAACTTCACTTTTATTTTAACTTTTATTTAAAGTTTATTTTGTAAATTTACCCTCTGACCCAACCCTTTATTATTTACTTTTTGAGTTATTCTCTTTCTAACGACCAGTAATACGTCACGATCCAACCAGCCGTTCTCGAGCAGAACGACGTCAGAGTAGAAGTGAACGGGTAATGGCCCCAACCACTACTATAATTTAAACAAATTAAGCTTACCCCGCTACTGGTAGTACAATAAAACTTTTTTTTTAAATCTTTGTCTTGACTTCAGCTATAAGAATCATTAAGGTAAAAATATGTACCGGGTGGTCCAATAAGCCGATCTCTCGGCTATATATCAGAAACTATTTATGTTATAACTTTAGGAGAAAAAATTCCTTAGTAAAAGTGGCCAAGAGAAATCGCTGGAAATAACTTTCAAGATTCTGGATTAACCGCTAGGTGGCGTAACCTGCGAAGAAAATTTTGAAAACCAGTTTTTTAGGAAATATGTCCAATTATACCAAGTGTTAAATAAGTAAACTAGAAAGGGGCATAAATTCTGCACAAAGTTGTTCAAGTATTTTTTTTTTCCAATAAAGAGTGGGGGAGAGTGGGAAAGTATTTGTGGATAAATACCTATAACTTTGGTTTGGTTCAACCGATTTTAATGAAATTAGTGTCATTAGAAAGAGTGTGGATGAATTAATTCACATCTACTATAAAATACTTGCATTTAGTTTTCATAGTCATAAGTAGAGGGGACTTTAAAAAAAATTAAAATTTGTTTTTCTACAAAATTTTTAATGGAAACACCTATTTATTGTAAATTATAATGGAACTGGAATAAATTCGTAAAAAAATGGAGCAATGTCAATAGTATGTCAATAGCTTTTGTTGAACTCGAGATATGAATAAAAACTCATAAACATAAGTAACTATAGTATTGACACACCCTGTATTATAAATTACATTAAAAAATAAGTCAGAAGGTATTTTCAAATTTTTTTATAGCAGAAGAATCTTAATGTTGATACCAATTTTGTAAAAAATAGTTTTTTCGAAACTAAGTAGGCTACGACAATGAATTTGACGGGGAGTTCATATTGTTTATTTATTGACAGAAGTCAAAACATTGTTAAGAAGTGCTATATTATAATTCGAATTAAAGTTTGCACTTTTTTCAATAGATATTAATATTTGTAATATTAGTAATTAATTATCAGTACAAATAATTCGTGATTGAAAGAAAGGCAAAAAGATTAAGAGAAACTGGTAGTTTTTCTCGTCCTTGTTTTAAACGACGTAGTAGAGTTATGACCGAAGATAATTCAATCAATGTTCTTGCTTTAATTTAACAGAATCCACATATAAGTAGTCCGAAATCTCTACTTCTTTGCCACAATATCTCCTGCCAGGATATCTTACAGCATATATACGTGAGGCAATAGCGCCATTTTGGTGATATTCGAAATAAACTATAATCATATCATACAATTTGATATACTCATCACGAATTATTAGTACTGATAATTAATTACTAATATTACCAATATTAACATCTATTGAAAAAAATGCAATTTTCAATTCGAATTATAATACATATAACACTTCTTAACAATATTTTGACTGCTGTCAATAAATAAACAATATGAACTCCCTGTCAAATTCATTGTCGTAGCCTACTTAGTTTCGAAAAAACAATTTTTAATCATATGACAACAATGGTCAAAAAAGGTATCAACATTAAGAGTTTTCTGCTATAAAAAATTTTGAAAGTACCTACTTATTTTTTAATTTATTTTATAATACAGGGTGTGTCAATACTATACTTACTTATGTTTATGTGTTTTTATTCATATCTCGAGTTCGATAAAAGCTATTAACATGCGGTTTGCGCCATTTTGTTACGAATTTAATCCAGTTCCATTATAATTTACAATAAATAGGTGTTTCCATTAAAAATTTGGAAGAAAAACAAATTTTAATTTTTTCTACTCGAAAGTACCCTCTACCTACGACAATTAAAACTAAATGCAATTATTGTATAGTAGATGTAAATTAATTCATTCATACTCTTTCTAATGACACTAATTTTGTTAAAATCGGTTAATCCAAACCAAAGTTATAGGTATTTATCCACAAATACTTTCCCGCTCTCCCCCACCGTTTATTTGAAAAAATAAAAAAAAGTACTTGAACAACTTTGTGCAGAATTTATGCCTCTTTCTAGTTTACTTATTTAACACTTGGTATAATTGGACATATTTCCCAAAAAAAATGGTTTTCAAAATTTTTTTCGCAGGTTACGCCCCCTAGCGGTTAATCCAGAATCTTGAAAGTTATTTCCAGCGATTTCTCTTGGCCACTTTTACTAAGGAATTTTTTCTCTTAAAGTTATAACATGAATAGTTTCTGATATATAGCCGAGAGATCGGCTTATTGGACCACCCGGTACAACGTATAGGGAGCGCTGTAGCTTAATTCATTTATAACGCCAAGTGGCTAATATTTCAAACCAATAAATAAGGGAAGAAACAATTTTTAAGCAAATATTTTTATTCCTACATAAATTCCTCTTTTTCTTTTAAATAAATTTCTGGCCCTGCAAAATTAATTTAGAAACAATTATAAACGAAAAGGAATTGACCTATCGGATCTACGAAGTCTCATTCGATTTGTAATTAAAAGAGCTAAAATATAATGTTTTTTTTGCATAAAGAGAAGAAGGTTTAGTTTTCAAAATGCAATAAATGAAACTAAAGAGTTTAAAACTTCGATTGTAATAGTAACTATTTTTTAATTCTTATAACTTTATAATAATCTGATATTTTGATTTTTTTCCTACAATACGAATGATGACAATGTGCAAAGATCCAGCAGATCTACTGTATGTGTCTAAGTACTGTTATATCATATTTTATCCATTACCTTGAAGGCCATCCCTTATGGATAGTAGGAGGAGTATTTCTAGGAGCTTCCTCATGCACCGGTCTGTGAGTTGTTCTACTCGCAGACTTCCTCGTTCCTCCACCAGGCCTCGATGGGAAAACAACTTTGACACCACCTGGTTTGGTCTTGGTTTCACTTGTAGAGCTGACAGGAACATGCGTACTGGATGGAACGGTATCATTGTGAGAAGAATCTTTGTAGCCAGGCGGTAAAAGCGCTGATATGTCCACTTTAAAAGCACTAAGATCTGTAACTAAATAAATTATGCATATTTTTAATAATTTTAATAATTAATTCGGTTTTAATATGAATAGTATGTTACCTTTAATAGCAACAGCTTCTTCTGGACTTTGGGTGGATGTTTTTGGTAACTTATATCCATGAGGCAGAAATTTGGAAACGTCATCAGCTTTGGTGTTTTTAAATACACTACTTTCAGTAGAAGATTTGTATTTCGGTACCTTATAACCCGGAGGTAAAAATTTGCCTACATCATCAGCTTTTGTATTTTTGAAAATGCTGCTACTCTCAGTGGTTCTGTCTTCAGATTTTGGAAATTTAAATCCGGGAGGTAAGAACTTAGAGATATCATCAGCTTTTGTGTTTTTAAAGATGCTGCTGCTTTCAGTAGTTTTTTCTTCGGATTTAGGTAACTTATATCCTGGAGGCAAAAACTTGGATATATCATCAGCTTTTGTGTTCTTAAATATGTTGCTACTTTCAGTGGTTTTTTCTTCAGATTTGGGCAATTTAAATCCTGGGGGTAAGAACTTGGAGATATCGTCAACTTTGGTATTTTTAAATACGCTACTGCTTTCAGTTGTCCTCTCTTCGGATTTTGGAAGCTTATATCCAGGGGGTAAAAATTTGGATATATCGTCGACTTTTGTATTTTTAAAAATACTGTCTTCGGTTGTTGAGGAACCTTCAGTTTTCGGAAGTTTGTATCCTGGAGGTAAAAATTTGGAAATGTCATCTGATTTCGTGTTCTTAAAAATACCGTGCTCAGTTGTTGTCTTTTCAGTCTCGTTAGATTTGGCTGTTGTAGTAGTAGTTGCTACAGTACTTGTTTCAGTCTTATTAACAATTTTTTTATCTTCTACTTTAACTGGTTTTACCCTACTTAAAATTTCTTCTAATAATTTAGAGCTTCTTTCATCACTGGCGTTTAATTTGTATCCAGGGGGTAAGAATGAAGTAAGATCATCAACTTTTCGTGGTTGGTCACCTTGCGGTTGGTTGGGGTCAAACGGTTTCTTCGTTCTTAATCCTGGTCGTGGACGAGGCTTCCTTGTTGTAGTCCTTCGGTTACTTGGCGAGTACTTTCTAATATTCACTTGCGGGTAAGGAGTTTTTGGAGTGGTTGTTGTAATTTCTTCCATTGAGGATATTTCCATCTTTTCTGGAGAATGTTCTTTAATGACTGCTATATTATTACCCAAACCTCCTAAAAAGCAAAATAAATTAGCGGTTTTATAATTTAATATTGTATTATATTAAATATTGTAGCAGACATTATACACTCCTGGACAAAATTATCGCACCACGTGGTTGCTAAATGATAAATAAAAAAAAATAACAGTAATACAACTTGTTTAGCTTAAATATAATGATAAGCAAAACTGGGCACAATTAACTTATATACTTTTGAGTTTATTTTTTGCTCAAAATAATTCAGTTATTCAAATTATTGTTTTTAGTTTTTTGTTGATTATACCTTGATCAAGTAGTGTCGCCAGTACTTCGTACAGCGTAAAGTGGCATTAACTTTTTATATAGTTTTATACAGTTTAAGACGTTATTTTTATTGAGTATGGATAGATTGAGATATCTAACTTAAAATGGAGCTCTCCAAGCAATGACTTTAATTAGAGGGGGTCGAAGTAACCGTTACGTGGCATATGTTTTGGACGTCCTTCATATAGTGATTAGCAGAGCATTGCTACGTTTAAGAAGACTGAAATACATACAAAAAGACCACAAAGGGCAAGATATACCTAAATCTAAAAAAAAAACAATTAATTTTGAATAACTCAGTCATGATCTGGGACACAGAAATTATAGCAGTTGTAGCGTAAATGATTTGATATCAAAACAACGCCATTCTAGTATTTCTGATCGCACAGTTAGAACATATCGACACAAAGCATATTTGAGTAAGTAATAGGAAGTCCACCACCAGACCTTTTCTCGTCAGACAACACCAGGTTAGTCGTTTAAAATTTGTTCAGCAATACGTAGGATGAAACTTAAACAATTGGTACCGCGCCTTGTTTACAGACAAGACGAAAATTGGATTGCGGGCACCAGATGGCTGTTATAGAGTCTGGAAACGCTAGTCCTTTTCCCGGGGGTCAGTTGTCGTCGGAGGAAGTCCCATATTTTGTAAAAGTAAAAGACGCTAAATTAAAGCAAGCTACTCGTGAAGAGTTGGAAAATATACCACAGCAAAACCTTCCAAAATTTAACTAAGAGGAATTTAGCGAACGCTTCAGCGAATGTTATTGTGGCAAGAAATAGCAACAGACAATAATAAAAATATAATCTGGTGCCTGAAGCTGACACATTTTTGTTTTGTATGGAAGTTAAAATAAAAAAAAATGAAAGAAATTAAAAAAAACCATATCCAACACAACTTGCATGTCATAAATCAAAACAATAATGGGAATGAAGAAGTGATTACAAAACTGATAATAGATTTAGCAGATAACAAATATTGGGAAAATTAACTTCGCCAGTAAATTCCATCCAGTTCCTTGGTGGAACCATGAATGCAAACATGCAATAAAACAATTCAAAAAAGCGTTTAATAAATTCAAACGACAGAAAAATGAACTCTTTAGAATTCAAACGACTATGAGCTATAGCCAGATTTACTATCAAAAAAACAAAGTGCAAATCTTGGACAACATACGTTTCAATTGACAGTTCTACTCCAATGACAACTGCATGGAAAAAGATAAAAAGAATATCTGGTACAAAATCACACAAGTCGATAAATCTGTTAGAGCAAAATAATGTAATATATAAATCTCAAATGGAAATATCAAATTATACTGGCATTAGGTTATGGAAAAAATTCAAGCGATGCAAACTATTCACCAAAATTCTTAAAGAACAAAAGAAATGAAGAAAAATATACCATATACTATGAAGATTAAAATAACAGTGAAATAAACTTTCCAATATCGATGGATGAATTAGAAACGGTAATGAACTGTAAGAACTCTTGTCCTGGGCCAGATAATATACCCACTATTTTTCTAAAAAACCATATCTACCCATGTAAAGAATATTTACTTAGCATGTACAACTTAATCTTCTCGAAAATGTATTTCCAGAATCCTGGAGAAATTTAATAATAATTCCCATTCCTAAACAAAGTAAATAAAAATCAGATCCCGAAACATTTAGGCCAATATCTCTTACTTGTAGTATGGGCAAACTGCTAGAGAAAATAAAAAATAACAGACTTATGTGGTATCTACAATCAAAGAAACTAATTATACCAGAAATAAAGTGGTTTCCGATAGTGTCGTTCTACTGTAGACAACCTTATTGATGTAGAATCGGAAATACATGAGGCTTTTGCAATTAAACAACACTGTATTGGAATATTTTTCGACATTAGTAAATCCTACGAAATATTCAATTTTAAAAACGCTCAACGAATGGAAAATACGAGATAATATACTCAAATACATATCAAACTTAGTAAAAATAGACAATTTTAAGTCAGAGTAGATGGCGTATATTCCTCAAGAAAAAATCAAGAAAATGATATAGCACAGGGGTCAAACCTTAGCACTACTCTGTTTCTTGTAGCTATGAATTATATTACCGCACAAATCAAACATCCTGTAAAAGCTAGGCTATATGCAGATGAGTTAGTTATACTTTGTAGAGGAAAGAACCTAACAACCATCCATAACCATGAACAAAAAGCCATAAATCATATTGAAGAATGGTCATTGACAAGTGGTCTTCGGTTTAATACCTTTAAAACCAAAAAACCAAAGCAGCATGTTTTACGAAAAGCCACCAAATACAACCGAAGAACTTATATTTAAATGGAGGACAGCTTAAATATGTAGACGAAGTTAGATTCCTTGGTATGATCTTTGATCAAAAACTAACTTGGAAGATACATCTAGAATATTTAAAAAAGACATACCAACCTGGAATAAATTTGTTACGATCACTCGCAAACAAAACATTGGGCACCGACTCTTCTACATTACTACATATCTACAAGACCCTAGTACGTTCCAAACTGGACTAAGGCTCAATTGTTTACAACTCCTCTAAAAAAACGTACTTAAAAACAATAGATGTTATTCAAAATAGAGGTCTTCGAATTTCCTTAGGAGCACACTACACAAGTCCATGACAAACCCTATACTGGGAAACTGGAGAGATTCCACTCGCGTTTAAAAGACAATATCTATTATCTATTGTATAAACTTCAAATAAAACTGATCATCCTTTCTATTACCGCCCACATACTACTTGTTAATAATAGGTATCTATTTTCCAGACGTCTACGATATTTCCTCAATTCAAACCTCTCCTCCTTAGATAATTCGACTTCCCTCTACTGACACCATCTTATAACGCCTAAATAAATCAGAAATGCCAGCATGTCAAATTAATTAAGAATTTCTTAAAATATTAAGCAAATGTGGTAGCTGTTACAAAGTTTACACCAATGTCTCCAAAAACGAAGACGAAACTGTATCAGCAATCTACTCATCAGATTACACAGAAGCTTACAAATTACCTTCATATACAACAACGTTCTGTGCTGAACTGTATATGATACTTAAAGCACTAGTTCTGATAGTTAACAAAAATAAAAAGAGAAATATCAATATTACAGATTCTCTTAGCTCAATAATGGCATTAAACCAACTCTACTGTAATCATCTACTACTCCTTCTCATTAAAAAGGAACTAAACATGCAGAAAATATTAAAGTTAATTTTATATGGGTACCGTCACACACTGGAAACGAAGGAAACGAGGTTGTAGACAAAATAGCAAAAAATGCACCTAATAACCCAAACGCAGAAGATAATACGAAATCTCTTCACACCGACCTGAAAGCATTCTTTAAAGAAAAGATTAATTCAATATGGCAGGATACATGAAAGAACTCCCCAACCAAGCTGTACGAAATTGATATTAATCATCAAAAATTCCCAAAATTTAACAATAGAAGAGAACAAGTAACTTTTACTCGCCTCCGGATTGGTCATACTCGGTTAACACACGACTACCTACTAAAACGTGCTGATAAGCCTGTGTGTGACATGTGTAAAACTGTTTTAACGGTAAAACATTGTTTATTGCAGTGCCCCAAGTATGATGTGCAACGTAAAATCTATAACATATCGTCAACATTAAATAGTGCTCTTGGAAAAGACAGTGGTACTAAAAATATTTTTGACTTTCTCAAAGACTGCAAGCTGTTATCAAAAATCTAATATTTTACATTGTATAGATTAAGGTTTATTTCTAATTTTGTATTTCTATGGTTAATATTCTATTGTAAGTTCTAACTCAGTATCACAATCGATACACGCTAATAAACCTGTGTGGTTGATGCGTCTTGTGAGGAAAAAAATATACTAATGAAAGCATAGTTGAAACTAAGTGGTGTGATCATTTTATTCAGGAGTTGATATATGTATATTTTATATACGTTGTAGATAGGTACATTATAAATATATATATATATATATATATATATATATATATATATATATATATATATATATAGAAATATTTTAATAGATAAGTAGGAAGCAATCAAATGGATGACTAAGAAAGTTATAAAAAAAGGATTCAACGTTAAGCTTACAAAGAATAAGGAAAAAAAGAGTTTAAAATTACCTGTTAAAAGCCCACTGGATAGATCGGATTGCACTCTATCCAATTTATCGTTCAGACTCTCCGTAGAGGTGCGCAATTTAGGAGTAGTAACCACTGTTGTTTCTTCTGTAGTAGTTTCGTCATAATCCTCTTCAAATTCAGTTTTTGGTACTGTGTGATGGTGGCTCATTTCTTCGACGGAATGCTCATTTAGAAGTTTAACTCTCACATCTTGCTCTACTATAGAAGATGGAAGATATCTACAAAATTAAAACGTATCAACCACAGCTTGTAGTTGGTTGGTATTAAATTATTTAAAGAAATTAATTTTAGGTCTTAATCCTATCGATTTTTTAAAAATAGTTGTAATGTTAGATTCGTTAATTATTTTATGATCTACGTATTTTTACTAGAAACTAATAAACTACTAAAATAAAAGACTAAATCTAAAAGTTGGAAAAATAATTTACCTAGCACCAGAAACACTCCGACTAGTTTGCACTGAAGCGATAACCACCCATGTGTCCGTAGTATTGTCGATCGGAAATGACGGATCAGTTGTTGTTTTTAAAGGAGTTGTAGGGGCTGGATTGGGCGTTGCTGAAGCTATTATTGTATTGTTGACAACTGTTTTACTCGTCACTACGGAAGTAACCAGTTCCGGCTCTTGTTTCCCACTCTCCTCAACAGAAGAAGAAACTGTGTGGACTACTGCAGGTTTGGTAGCTTCTATTGAAATAGCTTCTTGGGAACTAAGTTTGGTAATTGACAAATTGGGTTCAAGCTTGGGCTACAAATTTATTTAATGTTAAAAAATAAGTTGCTATAAATGTATTTAGTGTCATAATATTGTGATCGGGGAAAGACATACTTTGCTTCATATGTTCAGAAATATATATTGTAACTAAGATTTTCGTACAATATCTTACCTTTTGTTCTTCACTTATGTCGTCCTGCTCTTCCTTTTCTTCGTTTCCGTGAATATAATTTTCCACTTGACCAGCTTCACGAGAAGAATAAATTTCATCTGAGTAAAATTCAGTGCTGTCAAATGGTTCGTGGGTGTAAGTTTCTTCTTCCGAGTGTTCACTGGAACTAATCGCTTCGTGAGAAGTATTCGATGACTTAATCACTTCAACTTCATCGTCGTTATTAGAACCATAATTCTTTTTGAGCGGTTCTTCCAATAGCGGTTCCAAGTCGACAGTTTTTGGTCGTTTAGATATTATCTTTTTAGTTTTTACTCTATTAACGGACCTCTGTTCCGAAGGGGCTGATTGTGTGGTAGGTATTAAACTCTCTGTTGTACTAGAAATAGCCGAGGGATTGTACACCTCTCCATTTGAGTCAACAAAGTACTCGTCCACTACAGCTTTGCTGGTTGGTTTACTTGGATCTGGGGCTACGATTCTTGCCCTAAAAAGATAAATTATTGATACAAAGTTATACTATGTGACCAAGCAACAAAATATATTTTAAAAGGTTTTTAGAAATTCGGTACCCAATAATATTTTCTTGAAAAAAAATCTTTTAAAAACTGCTGAAAAGAAAAATAAAAAAAAAATCATGAATTTTTACCTGTGGTTTAAGAATGCATTTCTGCCAGCTCCTCCTATTGAATTTCCAGCACTTTCTTCCAGTACGTCACTGAAGTCTGTACTTTTTTCTGGGAATGGTCTACTTGGCCTAAACTCCTCGTATTGTACAGGAGCTTCTACTGGATTCTGCAGAGTTATTTCTCCGAGAAAAGTTTCAGTCTGGGAAGGATCTCGGTTATGATGTTTCGCGAACAAGTGTGAATAATTGGGTCTTAATGTTGTTGGTTGCAAATTTAACGCATCCTGATTGTACGATCCTAAATTTTGCGGGCTCTGAGTTTGGAAGGACGACGGAGAGCTGACAAGTTTTCTTGGTACCGTGTTTTGGTTTTGGTTCTGATACGAGAATTGGCTGAATGGATGATTCACAGAATTCCGAGGAAACTAAAATAAAAGATATTTTTAAAAACTTGCGTTTTTGTAGTTTTTATATAAAATATAACATTCGTATATTTTTTGATTTTTAGTAAGGAACAAAATATATGGGCTGCAGATTCCTGGGCTCAAAATATCTGGGCTACTACCAGAGGTTTACGATAGGAGAAAGTGAATGGTTGACCCTTCCAGGATTCTACGATACTCGCGGAATTGCTATTTTGGTACAATTTTTTGATTTACTTAACTTCTCCATTTCTGCTAATCCAACGGTGAGCAAATTGCTGATATAGATAGTTTCGTACTATTAATATACAATGAGGCGGAGCTCCATCCTGTATAAACCACATATCTCTTCTTTGATTAACATGCAATTCTTCTAAATAGCCGAAAAGTGTAGTTTGTAGAATCTCTAAATAAGAGTTACCATTCAAATTTGCTGGTAATTTATAAGGACCCAACAAACAATCTCCAAATATTCCGCACCCTACATTAATCTTATATTCATGTATGTTCAATAAATTCATTCATTCTCGAAATAGATGGGAATTTTCAATATCACAACTGTGGCTGTTTCTCCAGTTAAGTACTCCTCTACGTGTAAATATGGCTTAGTTGGTAAAAAGAATGTTTTTAATAAAATTACGATTTTGGTTTTTTATATTTATTATTCACTCAGCAAAATTCAATCGTAAAGGATAATCTCTAGGTAATACATTTTTTACGGGTGTAAACTGGTAGATCGTAGATTTTCTTTTGTCAGTACCCGAAAAATTGCACAGTGGCTTACTCCAGTTATTACTGATAAACGCCGGACATACGTTGATTTTAAATATTTAGCCGGCCAAAAGTCAAATTTTAAAAGTGACGTCAAAAATTTGGAAAGGTCCTAGAGATACATGATGGTTTGAATTAACAAAAACCAACTGTCCCAACTCTAGAACTGTTCACAAAGCACGTGCGCAGACGCACGTGCGCAGACGCATGCGCGCGGTAGGTGGCTTGTCAATAATGTTTGTGATATTCAGCTTATTATTTAAAGTGATTCTAATGGAATCGAATAATTCAGGTAATAATGCACGTTTCTTGAAATATTTAAAGAATGTTTATTGTTATCTTATATTATTTTTAAAAAATCAAAGAGAAGCTGTTTTCTATTGAAATTTCTGTTTAATTCTTGTTTATAAGACATTAAGTTATTATATAGCCCCAGATCCGGCAATGCTGTTTATTTTATAGTATACTGCATATATTTGGCTAATTATTGCCGTACGGTTTAGCTGCCGATAACTGGGGATGAACGAAATATAGGTGTTTTTGTGTTTTTTTTTGTTATATTGATGACGTCACAAAAATTAAAGTACCTACTTAAGGTCGATTCAGACACATCAGTCCCGTCATAGTCTCGGCGCCGAACCGGTCCTGTTTGGTCACAGAACTATCACCTATCTGATAGCTGGGAAACTATTTGTCAACTGATGAGTGTGAATGCCGGCAACATAATATTTGTATTAATAGTACATTGTTTACCGGGTAGGAAAAGCTTAACATTCCTGGACGACTGTGAAGATTGCTAAGTCGAGGCGCAAGCCGAGACTTAGCAACACAGAGTCCAGGAATGTGGCTTTTCCTACGAGGTAAACATACTATTTTTCCGCAAATCGTTTAAAATTCGACAGATATTGATTGATTTAAAAAAAACGCGATAATTTTATTCCCAAATAAATGGTGCTTTGAAATTCCTAATAAAATTACTTGGGTTACTATGGAAACGTATTGAGGTTGAATTGTCAAACTTGACGCTTATAAATTTAATTTATGTAGAACACTAACAACTGTACGGAAATATCATTTCCTTACAGTAAGGAAATGACATTTCCTTATAGTAAGGAAGTCCTGACTTTTTCTTCAAGAAATTTTGACAGGAATGTCAAAATTTCCTGGCGTTTTGCGGAAAAGAATATTTTGTATGACGGATTGTTCGGTTCGGCGCAATCACTGTGACGAGACGTGACTGATGTGTCTGAATCGACCTTTAATTGTAATAATTGTAACAAGTTACGATTTTCTTTGTTTTAGCTACATTTGATGTCTCTGGCTAAAAATAGGCTCCCGTAAATATTTTTACGACCAAATCAAGCTTTAATATTTGCCTAATTTAGATGATGAACTAAAATATTATTAAAATCACTTATTTGTTACGGTGACATATCTGACAATTTAACCGGTTTAAAGCGAAGAGACATTTTAAAACGGCCATGAAAGAGAAATGGTTAAAGGCTTAGGGTACCTAAAAGAGGCTATATTTCTACAAACAAATAAAGTTTGGTTAGATGGAACATTGTTACTGGTAGAAAACGAAAAAATAAAAAAAATACGTTCTTTGCTTGATGGGGTAGTTTTCTTTCATGCAGCACAAACAACATTACAGGCTCGAGGATAAAGAAATGCTTTAAAAATATTAAAAGAGATTACAAACTCTCCAAGTCGTGAAGATAAATATAAAGATGTGTTCAGGAAATTAGATAAAGAAGAAACTACTGCTCTTACTTCTCTGATTTTACCAAGCGACAGTAAGAAATCATTAGAAATACAAATAAATATTTTTATCCTTCACATGACTTATTGTTAAAGGAAATTTGTAAATGGAGTTGTGACGAATCTCAACAAACCAGATACAAACAGAAATTTGACGATAACACTGCTTCGGATATGTATAAGGTAAAAAAATAATTTGGCAAAACCCAATACCGTCTTTGCCTAGATATTGTAGACCTATAAGATTTATCTTTCTGAAAGAAACAGTTGATGTAACGAACAAGAAGATCAGTTACGTTGAAGAATCTGCCAACAACTTAACACGTACTGAAGACGTTTTGAACGGTAACATATTTATGTTTGATCACGTTTTAAGGATGATTATGATTGATGGCAATATTTGTAATGCTGCAACTAATATACAATTTACAAAGCAGTGTTATTTATGCGGAGCCACATCTAAAGACTCTAACAATCTGAATAAAAAAGTAAGTACAAGTTCTACGGCTATTGAATTTGGTCTCTCGGTATTACAATGCTCACAAAAAATATATTCAGGAAATATTTAGAAAAGAAACTGGATTGTTAATCGAGATGCCAAGAGCCAATTTCGGGAACTATACTGACGGCAATACTAGCCGAAGATTTTTTGAAAATCTTCAACTAGCTGCCTATATAACAAAGTTAATTTTGGATATATATATATATATATATATATATATATATATATATATATATATATATATATATATATATATGGATGACACCCTATGAAACCGACCATGTATAAAATATTAGTTCACGGTGCGGAAATATCGAAAATGCCTATTACCCAAAGGACAGCTGTCGGAAGAGGCAGCAGAAGCTAAGAATAAGCATTTTCGATTATACCGCGAGAACTATCAACTAAATTTCTCGAGGGAGGAATGCAACCTAGATATATTCAACAGACTTCTTCTAACTTCTGACCCACTATTAATCATTTTAATCAGCAAGAAACGTGTACAGAAAATGGTCAAACCAGGGTCATTTTACCCTGAAACAATTCAAATGCTTTTACCAGATGACCCGAATACTCAGTTCGGTATCTTAGACACTGATATGTGAGGTAAAATAAAAACTTATATATTTTTTGTTCATTTTAAAATTAGATTTTGATTTTTTCCATGAAAAATAGATGCCAATATTTAAAAAAAAAACAATAAATCCGTTAATTTGTACCAATTTGAGTAGAAGTAAGCTGTAAAATAATTTTGGCCGCCTAAATCCATTAACGACGTATGTGCGCCGAGTGCCTAGTTCAAGATTATTAGTAGCTCGCACTAAAATATCATCCTCCTGATCGATTGTTCCTGATTGACCTGAAATTTTTGGTCATCTCATATCACTTTTAGGCTTAAACTTTCTAGTTTTTCCTCTTTATAGATATCTTCGTGCAGCAGCAAGACAGGAATAATTTTTTTCTACATAAACACAGAGTATATCTCGAATTTTAAGATTAGTAAAGTAGTCATGCCGTGGCATTTTCACTTAATCAGCTTTTTAAATTTAACAAAAATTAAAATATTTATTGATCAGCCAAAAAGTGGCCGCAAATACTTTTAATTCAATTAATAGTACATAATTAATTTTTGAGCTAAAATTTTATTTCGTTCATTAATTTTTTAAATAAAATACGTTGCTCATGACGTATATGTATGTCTTTTATATTAAATTTGAGCCAATTTTTTTCTTAACATTAAGCTATAAGGTAGCCTCAGAAAAAATGGTGAAATTAAAGTTACCAGCTGTTAAAAACGCGAGGTATCAAAGATAAAATAAAATAAAGTTAGCGCGCCATTGATTCGACAATGACAATGATATGACAATGATAGTTTATTTTTGATACCTCGTGTTTTAATAGCTGGCAACCCTAATTTGTGACCATTCTTTTTCATGCAACCTTATATCAGCATATTAAGAAAAAAAAATTAACTTTAATTATACATAAAAGGCATGAATCTACATCCTGAGCAAAGTATTTCATTTAAAAAATTAATGATCGAAATAAAATTTTTGCTCAAAAATTAATTCATCATCATCATTGGCTCCACAACCCAGGGTGGGTTTTGGCCTGCTCAAGGATAAGTCTTCATTCTCTCTAAGTCTTTATTCTTTGGTTATAAATATGTTTTGGCGGTTTCATCTCATTCATTCTCTCTATGTGACCTAACCACTGCAGCCGGTATTAATTTTGATGGACCTAATAATATCAATTACTATTTAAATGGGAATAAGCCACAATTAAGGAAATCGTTCTCAAAATACAAAAATTAGTAAATTCACTAATAACTTTAACCTTTAATTGTGGCTTATTCCCAGTTAAATAGTAATTAATTTAAAATGCCACAAGAAAATAGCTTCAGAACAATATTAAGAAACTAATAATATCAGGTTTGTCATACAGGCAGTAAAGTTCGAAATTATAGCGTCTACGCCATAATCCGCCCTCCTGTAGTCCTCCATAGATATGCCGGAGTATTTTACGCTCAAAGCATCTTAAACGCTCTTCATCGCTCTTTGTCATCGTCAATGTTTCCGACGCGTAGGTGAGGATGGACTTGATAAGAGTTCAGTATATCACTAGTTTAGTTCTTTTTGTAACTAGGCTTGTTGTTAAAAATTTTCTTAATTCATAATAGTGTTACGATTTTAAATGTTATGGCATATAGAACTGTAAATATTTTATGACTAATTCTTTTTTATTGATTCTCGTAATTTGTAGGTCAAAATCTACCTGAGACACGTTGGGTTCCCCTTCGCTATAACAGCGACGAATACGAGTTTTCTGGAACCGCTTCGATACCAGTTGTTAGATCATTGCCGCTCTGTCTACGAGAGCCTCGTAAATACGAGATGATTCTATATAATGTAGAAGGCCGCCGAACTTTCCAGATAGCGGAAGTTTTTTTGTATATAAACGACACATTTTTATTTGTCAGTCAGTCATAAGAAGATCGGGAAACGCGATTTAATTGTAACGAAACGTAAATAAATTATTTGTAATATAAATTAGGATTAATAAAGACTTTAATAAATTAGTAATTAGTTATCGTGAGTTTTAATAAATTAGAATATAGACAATAAATTAGAATAAAGACAAATAAATTAGAACAATATAAATATACTACAATAGGCTTTATTTGCCAGATATATCCGTCTGTTAATTTCTGCTCTTACTGCATTATTCTGCTTAATTTGTGAGCCTAGGTACATAAACTCTCTTACTCGTTCGAAATTATATGTTCCGATCGTTAGATCTTCGAGTTGTGCTGCTTGTATATAATTTGATACTTTCATATACTTTGTCTTACTAGTGTAAACCTCTAGTCCCATTTTTTTTGTTGCTGCTTCAAGCGCCTTAAATGATTCGACCACATCCGCCTTTCTTCTTGCAATAATGTCGATGTCATCAAAAATTAATTACTATTAATTTAATTAACAATATTTGCGGCCACTTTTTGACTGGCAATATTGTTTTTTAGTAGTTTAATGTTTAATTATTACATTCTTTTATTAATTTTGTGACAAATATGTGTACCTGTCGTCGTTTACGAGTTTTTATTATTGTTCTTAAAACGAAAGTGAATCGGAATTGGAATCCGTCGTCAGCTTTTCCCTATCTATTAGAGTTTTTTCAATTTAATCCTGATCATATAGACGGACGGACAGACAAACATAATCTCTAGGATTATGTTTGTCTCTGTAAATTTTATTTTCGTGTTATTATTTCGATCCAATTAGACGTAAATGGTCTGAAACCGTAACCAATAAAATTTTTACAGGTGTAATCAATCAAAACGGAAACAAATAAATAGTTCAATCGGTATAAATCTTAAACTATCTCCGTAGACTCTGTAAAAAGGAAATCTATAACTAAATCGATTATTAGTCTCTCTATTGAATGCTGTTAATAGAGAAACATCAAACCGAATACTACTAATCACTATGAAATTAGTAAACTTATATTTAATATTTTAAAATTTTTATAGTGCTAGATAATATCAAAAATCTACAAATTATTACGTGAATGTATCTCGAATAAAATGTAACTGTAAAGTTAATAAATTATAATAATTCTTAGGTTAAATTATAAGAGACTAAAATTTCACTCCAAGTGAACGAGTACGTGAGACGAATATAAATTTACTTTTAGGACACTTACGTTAATGACTTGAGTCCTAGGCGTGGAAGGAAATCGGTACTGCGGAAGAGTCTGTCTTAGGTGCACCGGAAGATCAGATGTCTGGAGATCGGGGTGTAAATAACTGCCATGCTGCGGAGAGTCCAACGTCTGAAAACCAGCCGGTGATTGTCGAAAAGGAATGATATCCGACGGACTAATATACTGATTGTGGTTTTGCTGATAGGGGACGAACCCACCCCCGGCCTGTTGTCCCGTGTAGATGTAGTCCTGGCCTGAAAGTGAAAAACGTTTTATTAATGACAGCCAAACATGTTTCATTCGAGAGGCGGGAGATTCGTTTTGAATTAGAGGGTAATTAGGGCGAGGAAAAACGATTATAGGGGTACTGGTGGCCCTTAACGAGTTTGTTTTGGATTTATTTAGGTTGGCTTCTACACTGTAGGAATTTGTGCGCTTTATTATAGGTGTTTAGAATCACGAACTGCATCCTCATACTCTGTTTACGTAATTAAAATTCATGTTCTTATGGTTATTTCAAAATTATAAAATTATGTAGGTATATCAGGTATGTATACACACACACATATATATATATATATATATATATATATATATATATATATATATATATATATATATATATATATATATATAGAGAGAGAGAGAGAGAGAGAGAGAGACAGACAGAGAGAGAGAGAGAGAGAGAGAGAGAGAAAAGAAATTTAATCATTGCAGATAAGTTAACTCTAATGAGTATCAATTGTTTCGCCGAAAGTTTTCGCCAAGGAGAATTAATTTGGCTTCTTCAGGGCTGAAAGGGAATAAATTATAATTAGCTACCATATAGTATCTGTTAAAAAACATTATTGATCTTACCGTAACTTATAATTGTTGAGTTAGGATGTTAAAAAACTTAGCTAGTAACAACATAGTGGTGTTTTTTGTTACTACGTGCAAAAAAAGTTTTTCTTAACGTTGGAAATATATGTTAGCTTTGAACTTAAAAACGCAAAGGTTTACCCAAGGTTAATCGAAAAAAAACCAATGTAACTACATTTAAAAGGAAGTAATTCTTTGGATTGTCGGCAATAACTAAATTTTTAATTGTTAGAAAGTTTAAATGTGAGCTTCTGTTTTATGAGAACGCACGTGCCGACAATTCAAGTAGGTTTTTGAATCTTTATGTCGTTAAGGTTCATTGGTAAAACCGACTGAAGTTAAATCCCCGTTTGGGGAAATATTATTTTAGATATTCATAAATGAAATTATTTTTTAAATTATATTATAAAATATTGTTCATGTGTTATTATAATATTATCTTATTGAGATGTATCTAAAAGAAGCAAGGGAATGTTATATTTTTTAGTTAATGAAAAATATTATTAAAGTAGGTTAGTTGTTATTGGATATATCAGTTATCTGTGATGTTGTATTATTCTTGGTATCTGATTTAAGTAAGAAGTGGTATATATCGCTTAGATTCTTAATGTCACTCTTAACATTGATGGAGAGATAAGTCATTTCAATGAACTCTTTTTTAGATTTATTGTTCTCACGGTGGAGAATTATAGTGGTAGTATAGTCCGGTATCTGTGTGTACCGTGTCAAACGAAAATAAGTACTCCAAAAAAAGGACTCGTCGTGAAGCCAATTTTAAGTACTGCATTTAATTCGAGATGTCAAGTCGAGCTTATTGGCATGCAGTCAAAAGCGGATGGTGACTATAAATTTATTATGGTCTATCAAGACTTATGTATTTCAGTCAATGATGTGCGTGGTACTGAAATAATTAGTCTCAGGGAATGCGCCCGTAAAGATTCGAATTTAGGTGATCAAGGATTCCGTCACTGCATTGTAGTGAACAATGCAACTCAAATCACTGCAAATGTAACAAAGCATGTGTTCTGTTTAATTCTAAGTACCATAAGAACCTGTCCTGCAAAAACAAGTAATTATAGTCTGGTAACTTACAGCTAATGCGTATGTACGAGTTGGTTTTTACTTATTGCATGTCTAGTTGTGACTTTTGATTGATAAATTATGTGTAAATGTTTAAATTTAGTACCTAATACGAGCCTGTTTTAATTTAATACATGTCTAGTTGGGATTTTTAATTGATAAATTAATGTTTAAATGTTTAACTTTATTGCTTAATACGAGTCTGTTTTTACTTATTACACGTTTGGTTAGGTTTTTTGACTGATAAGTTCTGTTCGATTGATAAGTGTTTTAGGTTTGGTTGCACCAACAGATCTTAAGCTTAAGACGTGCCTTAAGCTTGGCTTATGAAATATACGCGTTATATCATTGAGATTTAGATCAATTTTCAGTTTGTCACAATGGATTGCTACGTGTAATGGACCGATAAAAATTATTTTCGCCTGTCGTAAAATTATTATACTTGTGTTATTAATAGTCATAAGTAGATTTTTCTAATGTATAATTCACGAGAGTAACTTTAATAAACACTAAAGTGTTTAATAAAAGTTCATCAGCAAAGGTTTATCCATATATTCTTTTAACATACAAAACGGCTACAGAAAAAATATTGTACGTAACACGATCCAAAAATAATTTTATGAGACTCGAAGGATTCCAGGACTCATGCATTATAAATCATTTATTTACTTTCGAATCTGCTTAATGGCTCTATTAACTATTGGTATCAATGTAACATATAATTACAACTAAACAAATAGGGCTAAAACATAAAAAAATATTGCAACAGTTATGGCAAAAAGGCGATTATTTCGTATTAATTAGTGTTAACATACTCAATATTTATTAAAGCAAGTTTCAAATAAAAGTTTTATTTTTCTATCATTGTTTAATGACCCTTGTTTGTTTACTTTTACCGAGTTTTCCCTGAATCATACAAACATGGATAAATACGTATTGCTTCAAAAGTTAAATATTATTTGATTGTTTTCAAATACGTCAACTTTACAACGAAAAATTGAAAATAAAATTTAATGTGCATGTTACATTCATTTAGTGGGTAGCTTTGTCGACAACGTGCATGCGGAAATAGAGAAAAAAACAGGAATCATTGCAGTGCGAGCGGTTAAATATTTCTATTCGTCACTTTTATTGTTGGTTTTCCAGCATTGTGTTCGGTAGTTCGGCAATCACGTAACGTGGCAAATGGTATATATCGAGAATCCGCTAAATTTTGATGTTTGCTTACAATAGATAGCTTTATTACTGTGTTTTCACTACAACTGTCACTACGTTTTCACGTAACTTAAAAAAATCTTAAATATATTGGATATACTGAATGTTTTATCACGATCTATCATATATACTTTCATTTTACTCCAGTCGACAATAGAATTTTGCTAAGAATGTTAACTTTTGGGCCCGCCAAAAAGATGCACAAAAGTTTACCATTTTTACCTACCGGCTTCCCACTAAAACGTCGCCTCGTATGGTGGAAACGGAACAAATGCGTTTATCAAAAATCTGCACGCCGTAGAAAAAAATGTTTTAAATAAAAAATATAGCTGAGATAATTTTTTAAACAAAAATATTTATTAGCACTTTTTGGGTAAAATACACAGTTTTCTCAGAAACAACGCTTAAAGCTACTGGCGATTTTGAATGTAAGTTACGCATGCTAAAAAAACAACTCAATTGTAAAAATTCGATATCTCTTGTTAAGAGTGTCATATGGACAAAAATCAAAATACGTTCGAAGAAGAGTGCAGCTTTCGTATGCAATTTTTGTATTTAGTCACAAATGAAGTCAGTTTTTATAAAGGTAATAAATTGATAAACGTTTCACACTTTTTTAGGATTCTCATGATATCAGTAAAATATATCAGTTTCATTTACCGGTTACTATGGAATTTTCATAGTTAAACAATTGAATACAAACGACCTAAAATATTGAAAACTGCTCCTTTTGGATTGCACGTTTTGCGAAACTTCATAACTTTAGCTAAAAATTCCACTTAATACCGCCTTCGTGGACACATTTCTAATGATATGTGATCGTTTTTACTTTAAAAGATTAAATTCTGAGTTTTTTAGACATACTTCCAATGCAAGGGTCGGCAAGTAATTTTATGTAGGGTCCGGATACTGGAAGAAAATTTGAACAAGGTCCAGAAAAAAACAAATGATAACATTTAATGACAAGATGTTTATTATTTTGATGGTTTTCATGTTTCAAAATGTGCCCTGGCTCCCTCCCTATCTATATTTTGTAAGAATGAGATCACATGTTCTTTTATTAGCCAGAAACGTTCAATAACTGGACCTTTACTTAACCAACGAGCATTATTGTGTTGAAGTAAGTCAGAATATGCTGAATCACATTCAGAAAAAAACTCCTTGAAATGTCGTTGTTGAAGAACATAATAAGATCTCATAAAATTAATTAACTTCACTAAACTGTCCATGACTTCTTTAAGTCTAGCACTAAGTTTTCCACAAAGGGCTGCCTGGTGTATTATGCACTGATATGTTATTAAGTTTGAATTTTTATCCCTGATCCTCTTTACTACAACTTTTTCTTTGACAATCATTGCTGGGAGCCCATCAGTAGAAAGCGAAACCATTTTATTATAACTGATGTTATATTTAGAAATTAATTAATCAATAACCTTGAATAAGTCTTCTCCTCAGTGGTATTTTTCAACGGCAATATCGCTAGCAACTCTTCCCTAAAAATCTGACACTCAATATTAAGAAATCTTACAAAAACAGATATTTGTTAATCATTAACAATATCACATGATTCGTCAAGTGCTATGGCGTAACAAGGTGCCTTTTGCAAAAGATTAAAAAGAAAGTTTTTAATATCCGCAGTTAAAATCTCTGTTCTTCGTGTATTACTACGCGTTGACAATGAGATGCTTTGAATTGCTGAGGCAACATCTTTTTTTCTTCAAAAGGCGAGTTAGCTACTGCCAGCATACATTCCTTCACTATCTCAGAATCAGAATATGGTTTTTGGTGTTTATTAAGTATCCAGCACACACGTAACGCTGCCTCTGTGAATTTTTCTTGGTCGCTTATGCAGCGAACTAGGATTTTTGTGCCTTTTTCGCAAGAATTAGGATACACCCGTTATATTAAGTTTTTATTTACGCGCCTGACTGCCAAGAGGAAATTTTTTTTGGAACTGCTGATTTCGTAGTGTCGCTTCAAATTTCCACTTTTAACTAAGGCGACAGCTTTTTGCATATAAGGCACACCGGAACCGCTTGCGGCCTATCAGACAGTGTAAAACAATATTGTTTAGTCCATTCTGCCAGAAACTTCCTATTTTTACTGTCCACTTTTCTCCTTTTCGGATCCATTTTAACATAGGTATATAAAGATGTTTTATAAAACGAAAGAAAACACGAGTAATCACAAAACAAATTAACGGTAGTGGGCTACGTGCATATCACTCACCAACTACGTAGTGAGCGACTGTCAGTCAGTGGGCAGCAGCGTTGCCAGACCCATACATTTTATTTCCCAAATTGTGTTTTAAAAGTTGCCAGATTTTGAACAGAATTCCCCAGATTTATATATTTCAGTTATTGTAAACATACAATATTATTATAAACTTGATTGACTCAGCAATCGATATTCCGCAGTTCAACCTTTCGCGGTCTGGATTCGGACCGCGGTTCGCCTGTTGCCGACACTAGCGTCTAGAGCCTGACCTACTTTTATGTGCTGACATGCGCAGTTCAATTGCATCATTTCTGAATGTGTCAATGAGGTTTATGTGTAATGTTGGTTGCAAACATTTTTTTTTATAAATTATTAATATAATTACTTCAATCCATCTCTTTAACCCGTTTGATATATTTAATAATGTTTAAATTATAAGAATAACTCTAAAATAAATAGTAAATAATAGCAAATCAAAATTAAAGGTTTTTTAAAATGGTTTTAAAAAGTATTAAAAAAAAAAACTTTTTGCGCATTTTTTCCAATAAAAATTTGTTATTTTATATACAGGATGTTGACTGATGTTATGTATCAATTACTATGATACCAACTTTAATATTTTAAATGAAACATTGGTTATATTATAAAATTTTTGGATTCTGCACAAAATTCTCAGAACTTTGATATATTGCATATTATAGTTTAAATTAACTTATTTTAGGATACAGGGTGGTTAATGAATAGATCACTCTCTGCATGTCTTCTTATACATTTAAAAGGTTCTATACCTTTCCAGTCGATAACTGTTACCACTGTTTCATAGGATTTTGGCAAAGTTAATAGCAAATTACATATTATATCTTGATCTTCAATTTTTACTCCACCCCCTCACTTCACTCACCCTCTTTCAATTTCATGGACAGCAACTTTCTTTTTTTATTATTAATTTATAAAAAAAATGTTCGCAACCAACAATACACATAAACCTCATTGACACATTCGGAAATGGATACAAATGAACTGCGCAAGTCTGCACATAAGAGTAGGTCAGGCTCTAGACGCTAGTGTTGCCGACCGTTGTTCTAATGTATCATATTTGTTGTCAAAATTTCTTAAAATCACTATATTTCCTCTGGATTAAATTCTGATGAATTTGAATTATTTTAAAGATATACATAATAAAAAACAAATAAAATAAATAATTTATGATAATTAAAGATTATATTGTTGTTTTCTTCTTCTTGTAGTGTTTAACCGGTTTGATGTTTGAATTTAGACTAGCTTTACTAATTTTATCAGTTTTATTATGTTTTCCTGATATAATTGAATTGTCTTATTAAATTCTCTTTTAGTCAATGCATCTACATCTTCTAAAATATTACACATTTGATCTTAAAAAGACACAGCTGAAGTGATCTAAACACTGGTTAGTTAATGTTGCTTAGCCTTTTCTGTGAATACTTTTATTATTAACAAATGATCAGTACTGCTAAACTTCTTTCTCACACCAATTTTTTTAGCTGAATTAAATAAATTAAATTTTTTACGTTTGAATGACGTACAGAACCATTATTGAATTCAATAGAATTCCACAGTGTTTTGTAGAAATACAGGTTCACCACATTGTTAGAGTTATAGAGAGTTTATAGTGAGAGTTCTTCTTCTTCTTCTTCTTCTTCAGCTTGTGTTCGTCCACTGCTGGACATAGGCCTCTTCCATTTGCTTCCATCGATTTCTACTTTTGGCAATTCTCATCCACTGTTGCCCGCGACTTGTTTGATATCGTCTGTCCACCTCTTCTGCGGTCTGCCAACTCCTCGCCTGTTCTCTCTTGGTCTCCAGTTTGTTAATCTTTGTGTTCATTTTTTGGGATTATCTCGGGCAACGTGTCCGACCCATTGCCACTTGAGCCTTGCAATACGTTCTGAGACATCAGTAATTTTTGTTCTTTCATGAATGACATTATTTTGAATCCTGTCTCTCAAACTAATCCCTAGCATGGTCCTCTCCATTACTCTTGGGGTTGTACTGAGCTGCTCTAAGGTTTTCTTTGTGAAGGCCATGGTCTCCAGTCCATATGTAGTAACAGGCAACATACATTTGTCATAAACTCTACGTTTTAGACACATTGGTATATCTTTATTCTTCAAAATAAAGCTTAATGTTAATGAGAGTTATACAGAGGTATTCATCACAAGTAACCTAATTGCATGATGTTGCCTCCAAAAAGTTGTTAAATCACGTTTTATAACGTATCTTAAACCCATTAATGCCCAGAACTATTATTGAAACCATTCAAATCAATGTTTTGTGTTTAAATAGTTATTAAATATGACATGAAAAAATGTTTAATTTTTTTTTGAAATTAAGTTTATGATTTAAAGAGAGATAAAACCTAAGATTAAGTTTTTCTTTACTTTGTTGAAATTCGTAAAAACATTTATAAGAAGTGAAATTTGACAATTTTCACATGCTTTCGTAGTTTTATTTTTACACTGGGAACATCTTGTCTGTTGGCAAACTATTAAGTGGCGGCTTTCTAAATTGGTCTTGTACACAGAAGCTCTCTTTGGTCCAGGGATTTTCGATTTGACTCTATTTTTTTTTTAAAAGATGCTGTGCATCTTCTAGATGGTAAAAGATTTCTCTTCCAAAATGTAGATTGTCTTGATCATATCCATGAGAGCTGGTTAGTTGATTAGCATTAGCAACACAAAAGTCAATCATCCAATACAATATTGGAGTATACCGTTTTGTTCCCCTTATAGTAATTCTGTGATTGGATATGTTATTACCCATGTTTGGGGATGTCACTTTTTTCCCATTGAAATTTATATCAGTTTTAGCTTTTTTTAGGAGGTTGCACGATTTTAGTATTTGAGTGGGTATTATTAAATATATTTTCCTTAGTTTCATTTAAAATTTAAAACAAGTTACCTTCTTGTCTTCCTTCTGTATATATACCCATATTCAAAAAACTACACTTATTCTATAATATCTCTGGTATACATTCTCCTTCTGCTCGAAATTACCTGGTGCTTAGATGGCTTACATTATAAACTTACTCGTCTCCTGAGTTACAGTCGGTATTTTCGCCTTCATGGTCGGAAGGAATGATATACATGCCTTCGGGCAATATTGGAATATTATTATCATTAATATTCTCTGCTAACTACCCAGGAACAAACAACAGCTTATCATTTCTAAATATTATGGAAAAAACAATCAAACAACAAAAAAAAAACAAACAATATATTTACAAGAATACCTAATAAAGACTTAGAAATATCTACATAAGCAAAATATCAAAATAAAAGCTACTTATCAATAAAAATTCGATTACATGCTCTGTCTATTTATTAACAAACGTAATGGGTACTAGTCAGAAAGAAGTATTATGTTATAGCTAGTCGCACGGGAGTGAAAATTAGTTAATGTGTTATATTAGTTAGCGGTAGGGGCAGTCCTGTATCCATCTGTAAATCACAGCCCACACTACATTTGTTTTTCGTTTGTTCGTTTGGTTGCTTTCCATTTTAAAATAAGGTTCAGTTGAAGAAGATGAAGAACCCCAAACTATATTAACCACCTAATCAGCCTAGAGTGACCTATCGTAGACGTATCGCTAAATATGTAGAATATTGTAACATATCAACAATACATTTTTAATAAAGAAAACTCATTCATCAATATAAAATAAATTGAAATTTTAATGATCTTCTTCTACCCATTTATACACGGTTTTAACAATATTTGGTATATTTAGTAACACTCATTTTGATGTTTTTCATATTGTGACGTTCTTAAATAGAAATGTTCCAACATTTCCCCTAATCTTGTAACTTTAACGTTACATTTTCCAATCTGACTTATCTCGGCATCCTACCTGCATGTTTTTCGTCACATTTCCAATTCCTCGGGCGTAAACATCTGGTTAATGTCTACAATTGTGGAAAAAACTTATTAAATCGAGAATAATAGAACTTGTTTCGCCGAAGGGTACGCGGATAATTGAATTTCGGAACGCGGAGACCTTTTTTCATTCTATTACAATAATACATTCGCTGTTCCCGGGGTTGACGATATTTCCCTAAAGGAAAGAGATCCTTGCCTAAAGAAAGCCCGCCCGACGTCTCTTATTGGATTCCTCTGATTATTTTTTTCTTAAACGCAGTTCTCCGAGGACACATTTGAATTCGTCGAGGTATAAAGGTTACCTAGACGAGATTTGCTCAAAAACGGTTTTCTGGAGGTGGTTACGACTAATAAAAATGTCTGGGCTGGATTTTAATTTCAGACTAACAGAATACAACTCTCTCTTTCCGTTACACTAATCTTGTGGTATATAAAAATAACTAGGTAACAAAAAAAATAAATAAATACATCTTTTCATTTAGACATCAGATGACAACATATTTATTGTAAAAAACTATTAAAACTGCAAATAAAAAATGCTTCCAACTACGTAGACTAGAAAATTGTAAGTATAAAAAGTGTCAAAACATATTTTAAAGATTTTAAATTTTTAAAGCTTTTTGTTATCTACTTTGTAAGCTGACCTGGGAGTGATGAATGAAAAGGAAGAGCATTTTACAAATTTTTGTTTTAATCATAGGTTAGTTAATCTTCTCACATAAAAATATCTACAAGGTTACATGGACTGCACCAGGTCATGTAAAGGAAAATCAAATAGACCACATCGCTATTTTAAATAGATGGAGATCATCTCTACTTGATCTATGTAATAAAAGGATGACATATGTTTAGAGAGGACTTCAACTCAAACAAGAGAACGTGAAGTAAATAGCTGGAAAGATTTGGCAGATTTAGCAAAAGAATGATATTTTGCAAGCAAGGACTCTAGAAGAAAAAGCGAACAACAAGAATATAAAACAATAAATTAAGCAGTTAAAAGAAATGCAAGAAGAGACCATAGAAGGTAGGCTGAAGAACTTGCAAAACAAGCTAAAACAGCTGCACAACACAACATAACTAGAGAGCTATACCAAATTACTAGACGACTAACAAAAACTGGGCTCAACTGTTCAAAAATTGTAAGATCCAAGACAGGTGAATTACGTACTACAACAATTGACAAAGTAGAGAGATGGAAAGAGCATTTTCAGAAGATGCTAGCAATGCCCAGTGAAAACGCAGATAAAATTGTCGAAAACCCGCAGAATGTAGACATGCACATACCTTACGAGGCCCCTTCAAAAACATAGATAATAACAGCTATCAAATCTATGAGAAATAACAAGTCTTCGGGAATCGATAACATTGCTGTCGAAATACATAAAACTGATCCGCATCCAACTGCTGAACTTTTGCTCCCCATAGAACATCAACTAAAGTCCAGAAAGTGGGGTTGGATTGGTACACACTCAGAAAAAATAATTTCAATATTGCAAAGATTGCCCTAGAGTGGAATCCCCAAGGAAGAAGAAAAAGAGGTCTCCCATCATGGACGAGACAAGAGTTCAAGGAAAGTCTTGGAACGAGCTGAAAGCCTTAGCGCAAAATAGAACCTGATGGCGCGTTTTTATTGAAGCTCTATGCTCCACTTAGGAGTTCAAAAACCTTATATATATATATATATATATATATATATATATATATAAATATATATATATATATATATATATATATATATATATATTTGTAAGCTTCTTCCTCTTCTTCTACGACACTACAGCCCAAATTAAGTCTTGGCCTCCTTTATCTTTTGCCTCTACCTTTGCTTGTCTGTAGCTGATCTTCTTCATACACAGACTCATATAAAGGCTTGTGCTTCGCTGCTTACTGTGTCTTTCCAGCGCTTTCTGGGCTTTTTAACCGGTCTCTTTCCCTGCATTCTAGCATTCAGTGCTCTTTTTGGTAGCCTCTCCTCTCCCATTCTTATCATATGGGTAGCCGATTGCACTCTTTGTTTTCAATTGAAGTCTAATGACAGTGGTGCTTCCTTATAAACTTGATAAAGCTCGTTGTTGTATTGATTTGTGAAGATTCCGTTTTTTCTCACAGGTCCTAGTAGTCTCTCCAGTACTTTCGAATCGAATTATGGCTTTATAGATTCTCATGTTTGTATTTCGGTGGACATTTTTAGACCGAAATATATGGGAGAAGGCAAAATACGCACTGTTTGCCTGAGTTATTTTTTTCCGCATTTTTCCATCTATAGACTTGTTGGAGATTTATACCCACTTTTTATCTTTTTTAGGTATTCGCAAGCCCCTCTAATTTCATTCAATTTTTTTTCCATTTTTTCTATTTGTCCATTTGTATAGGCTCTTTTTTATTTCTACATATCTTGTCTGCTTTTCATCTTGCGACTTCAAATGATGTTCATGATCAAAAAAATGATGTCTGCTTCATTTCTTTTCTCTATTGCTTATCTGCATTTTTCATCGAACCATGCTCGTCTTCTCGCCTTTTTTTTATTTCCCAGTGTGGACGCTGCCGCTGTCAGTACTGCTGATTTAATATTAGTCCATTTGCCCTCCATGGAGTGCAGTGCTAGCGTCCTTAACTCATTTGCGACTTCTTCTTCGAACTTCTCTCTACACTCTTAAATCTTTCAGATCCATTTTGTTTGTTCTTTGTCGTCTTCCATTTCTTTCATTGTTAAGTCTGTATCTAAATTTGGTTTGGAGTAAAAGATGGTCTGATCCACAGCATACTCCTCGTCGTGTTCTCACATCTGAGATACTACTAGCTGTCTTTTGTCTATTAGCGCATGGTCGATTTTATTGGTTGTGTTCCATCTGGTGAAATTCATGTCATTTTGTGTATGTCTTTATGTGGGAAGCATGTCGAACATAACCATTTTTTTACTGGTGGCAAAATTTATCAAAAACTCAGGGTGTTTTCTGTTGTGCCATAGAACTGCGGCTTCTTGCCTATTTTAGCATTCATATTACCCAATATAATTTTGATATACTTTTTCGTACTTGACTAATATTGAACCAAAAAATATGAGTTCGAGTTTGCAGTAAATGAATTTAGATTTCGAAGATTCGACTTCTATGATGAGAATCGTAAAAAATAGCAAAAATCGTGCAACGTTTATTTATTTAACACCTTTATAAAAACTGACTTTATTTGCGGTAAAATACAAAATTGTATTTGAAAGCTACAATCTTTCCCTTTAAAAGGCAATTTGATCTTTGTCGATATGACACTTTGATCAAAAGATTTTTATCAGATCAAATTTTTACCGTCGAGTTGATACAAATTTTATTTAAAATTGGTTTCGAGCGTATAACGTTAAAAACCGTCGCTCGCTTAAAGTGTTGTTTCTGAGAGAACGGTATATTCTGCACAAAAAGTGCTAATCAACATATTGTTGAAAATTATCTCAGCCACATTTTTTATTTGAAAATTTTTTTTACTACGTTGTACATATTCTTGGTAAATCGATTTTTTTGTTTTTCTTTACTATGCGTTAGGTTTTAGGGAGAAGCACAGGGTAAAAAGTGGTAAACTGTATTGTATCTTTTTTGGGGTCCAAAAATTAACATTCTCAGCTAAATTCGGCTTGTTCGTATGATTTTTAGAGGTTCAGTGGCTTTTTGACCACTGAACCACTGACCACGCATCTCTGACGACTGGAGTATAGGCAAATTAAAGTTTTTTTTTTAAACCGACTAGTTAATATTTCACCGATATGTTAAAAATTTTTCGAAAATATTCCTATATATAAAATAGTGCAAATAATTAAAAGGCTGAAAGTGACTAGAGACACACTAGAAACAAATATACTATACAACTGCTTTCTTAGACACGATGCCACGATGAACTAGCTACAAAAAATGAGCTTAGATCAAGTTCACTGCTAGTCAGTCGTTTAAACTAAGGAAAACACCACCAGTCTCCAAAAGTACAATTAGATTATGGCATACTAGAAAATATCTTGGTCCATAAATAGAAAACTATGCTAAGAATGCTTTACGGAATAGACGAAGGCATCCTTCTAAATGGCGAAGGAGTAAACAATGTTAGATATGCCGAGGACACCATGATGATAGCAGATAGTTTAGAGGGACTTCAAAGGCTAATGTACAGAATAAACAAGTACAGTCAACAGTACGGACTAAACATTA